AGCCTGTCACCGAAAGTAGTAACTATTGTTGAGCAGGAATCTAACACCAACACATCCCCCTTCCTTATTCGTTTTCTAGAGACGCTGGATTATTATACTGCTATGTTTGAATCAATAGATGTAGCTCGTTCGAGAGACGACAAGCAGCGAATCAGAGCGGAGCAGCATTGCGTGGCCCGAGACATAGTGAACATGGTAGCTTGTGAGGGGTTTGAAAGGATAGAACGTCATGAACTCCTTGGCAAGTGGAGGATGAGAATGAAGATGGCTGGTTTCACTTCATATCCACTGAGCTCCTCTGTAAGTGGAGCCGTCAAGAATTTGTTGAGGGATTTTAATGGGAACTATAGACTCCAAGAAGTGGATGGGTCTCTCTACCTTGGCTGGAAAAACAGAGCAATGGCAACCTCCTCTGCATGGAGATGAAAACCTGAAACTCCGTTGCAACATTTTAGAGCATGGAGCGATAATGACCCGTATAGCTTCGTAGAATGTGAGGTCAACGCTCTTACTGTTTGTAGGAACCCAAATCTTGAAACTTGCTGTAAATTTTCTGGCTTTGGCGAAAGAATTTTGTCCTGGTAGTGCCGTATTAAACCTCATAATTACAAAGATAACTAGTTTTATATCATATCTGATTCCATTAAGGACGGTGTTTGGAGCTTTGGTTTGGAATTAAAAACCTAGAGTTCCTAGAACTCATGGGTTTGTTGGGTTGGGTGGTTCTTCAGGTGAGGGTTTGACTGGGTTTGATTAGCCTAGCATAGGTATCCCAAGTTAGTACTTCGAAGGACAGTCATCATCCCGTTGATCTAAACGTTCCAATGCCTGTCAGCTTGCTCGTCGACATAGTCAAAATGTCCTATATCATCATCTCAACTACGAGTGGATTAGGGATGTAGAATTCTTCATAATCGAGGTGGTGATCATCATCAAGGTTCGGTGCAATTTGTGATAAAGACCTATAGCTATATTATAATACCATAGGAACAATTCATTTTTTAGGCCTTTGGCATTGTTAACACTTCCTTGAATGCGTAAAGTAATTTACGAGACAAATAGAATATTTTAATGTATAGACATTGATTCAAATGATATTTCTATTATTTTCACTTACTCATTGAATATCTCACTCTCAGTTTAGATGCATTCAAACTTGTTCCATCCAAATTCACTACACGATAGCTCTACGTCTAGCAATCACAAAGAACTGTTTCTTCAAGATTCTGATGATTCTGATCTAGACCCTAAATTTGGGTCGACGTGAGATTTATGCTGTAGAGGTAAATGAGGGAGGGAGAAAATAAATAAAAAATTAAAAAAAAAAAATCTTAAATCAATGAGATCGAAATTTCAGATTATTGGTTGACAACCTAGGTGGCCAAACATAGATTTGAATTTAGAACTAACCCAATCCAAATCCCAACTGATAACCGGGGGCTGATGATCTAAGCAATGCTTATTAATATCCAAATGCTAAGATTCGACGTATTTGTTCGGATATACTAAGAAACTACCTCTCTCTTTCTCTCTCTAACTGCGCTCAAAATGAATAATTAGATGTCGAGAGCTGATTCGTTCAATCTTTGCCGTAAAATCGTCTCTGACAGCTTCTATTGTTTTTCATTTTCTGCACAAACAGCAGTAGCAACAACAAAAACAACCACTTCCATCTTAGTTTGTTTGTTTATTCTCCTCCTCTTCCAATTATCCCAAAATCAAGTACGATCAAAATCCGGGATCTATAAATTTCCGTGTCTATTGGTTGATCTCCACGTTCATAATCCCGTTCCTGAATCCCTACCAAAATCACGTTTCAGCTGTGTTAATTTTTCAACGATCCGGTTGAAAAATGGAAGAATCGCCATCGCAGAGGGACAGGGAGAGAGAACGACGCCGTATAAGGGACAGGGAGAGAAGATCGTCGATGACCGTAGAACAGAGAGAGAGGCATCTCGCATGCCGCCGACGAAACTACCATCTACGAAGACTGAGATCTCGAAGCGTAAGAGCTTCGAATCCAAGCGTTTCGTCACCAATTGAAATGGCTGAAACCAATTCGCATCAGACAGTCGCAGAGACTTCCATTGCAGAGCTTGATCTGCAACGAAATGGGATTACGCTCATTGATTTCAACCACGAACAACAGATGACGTCTTCCGGTGAGCAGAATGTGTTCTTTAAAGATATAACTCAACCCGTGAGATAATTTCTCTCTGAGTTAATTTTGTTGCGAATTGTTTCATTAGGTTCCGAAACTTTGGACCCAAAAGCTGAAATTCTTCAGGGGAGGGTTCGTTTGAGTCATATTCGACGACTTGCGCGTTCAATTGGGATTCACCAAATGATGGATTCCATGGAAGAATCGAATGGAAATTGCAAGTCTGAGGATCATAGCTTGGAATGTGATCCAAGAAGATCGTCGAAAGCATTACGGCTAAATCGCGTGAAGCATCTCGCGAGAAAGATGAATTCTTCTGCGAAGCCATCGGCTGTTCCTGATGAATCACTAAATCAAACTGCCATTGCGGGCAGTACTGATCTCTAAGCTCTCCATCCTCCGTTTTGTCGATCAAAATTCAAATGGAGGCTTCATACGATGGAGGATTTCGTTTATAAGCATCATCGACATTGATTGACGAAATGGGAAACAGATGCGGTTTCTAATGAAGCCTCTTGTTTTATGTGGAAATTGAAGTGGGGTTACTTTGGTTTGTGCTGAATTGTTTTAATGAAGGCAACAAAAGAAGACAAAATGCCCAATGGTACAGAGGCTGGGCTGCTTGAGTTTGGCTTAGCCTCGAGATATGACAGCAGAGGAGCTCAGAAGATCGTATACGTGTTCTAACGGCTAATCAACCTTACATGGTGATTTTAAGTAAACAGAGAAAAGATTTTGCTGTTCATAATCTTGTTCTTGAAAGATGAACATACGTCAGTGTCTTATAAAGATATTGTGGAACAATAATAGTTGATTGATTTTGAATTGAGTGAGTGGTTGAAGAATTTTGCAATGCTAACCCATGTATTAAATTTTGATATCATTGTGTTGCAAAGAAATGGATTCAGAAAGAGCTGATCAATTGAGGTTGAAAATGGCTGCAAAAAAGTACAATTATTTTTCTAAGCGAACATCAAAACCTAATCTTCATAAAGAACTTAATAAACAGTTAATCTATGATCAAAATTCTTCATGAAGCTTTAATCCGCAGAAGATGAACGCCGACCAAATGCCAACACGAATTTCTTCTTCCAAGACTTCTAACCTGTGAACAAAAACAAGAACAAAAACACTGCAAGAATTTGCTACACATATGATCTAAAAAGGAATGCCTCAGAATAGCGGATTGACAGCAAGGCTTGAATAGCCATTCAGTCCCGAAAGATGGTATTTTGTTAACCGATATCATCATAGGCATTGGAAGGAAATCTAACAAAAGAAAATGAAAGATTTGAGGGTTAATAAAGAATATAGGTCTCATGGCCAGTCCCAAGAAGTAAAGGCAGCAACGCTGCTCTACAAGGCAATGGAATATGAGACCAGCAGCCGATGGAGGCTCCAAAGGAGCCATCAACATCAACCGGAATTACTCTGTGACGTTAACTTTGGCACTATACGAACATAACGTGTTCGCTCCAAATTTAGTAAGGGATTGGATCATAAATCCCCCGTCACATAAACACAGCAAATAACACAACATCAATAAAATTATCAAAACAAGGCATTGAAGAAATTGAAATGTACGTCTCATGGCATGTCCCAGGTGGTAATGGCAGCGAGGCTGCTACACAAGGCGATGGAATATGAGACCACCCATGACGGAGGAGTTCCTTAGAAAGGAAGACCGTCAACGTCATTAGACATTCTATACGACGTTTACACGGAACTGTGCAGAAATAGAACAGGTCTGCTTCCTCTTAGTAAGATACTTCCTCGCAGAAGTCTCCCGTCGCATTTAAACATCAACAAAGGCAAAACTCGAATCAAAGAATAAGAGCAAGAATCATCTCTATGAAACACAAAAACATTTAAGAACAAAAATCAGAACAGATTATCGAAACAGAAGCCTCAATTCAATCAAATCCAGATTCTGCAATACCGTGGAAGTGATGAAACTGCTAAATCCGAACTCAAAAGTGATCGAAACATATAAACAAACGTGCAAGGAAGAACTCAGAAATCACCGATTGAAGAAATGCCGCTGCAAAAACCCTAAACCTCCAACAAGGGCTCAGAAAAGGTGCGGGCGGTGCAATGGATGAGAGTGGATGAAGAGGTATCGCCGTCGTGGTCAAATATAAAGGAGAGGTTGGAAACTGTAGACCGTTGGATTGTCATAGAAATAAATCTCGGCCTTTCAATTGTCTAGGGTTACATGCCGCCATGAGATGGGGGTATAATCGTCCATCCGAGTTTATACTTTCCAAATTTTCAATTAAAATTAATTTTCTAAATTTAAAATTAAATAATTGTGTCCAAATAACATGTTTTTAGCTGTCAAATATTTCAAATCTCCCTACCCATATATAATAAATAAAAATAATGAAACTTAAATTATCTAAATATTTAGTAGATGAAAAAAAATTAAAATCATAATTTAGTGAATAATACACATATTACCGTCGTTAAACTAACTCGAAGGTCACCATTGTAATTGTAAAATTAAAATGAATTTTATATTTAAAAAGTGTTAGCTAAAAAAATTCAATTTTTTTTTGTTTAATTACGAAGATAATCCATTTATAAAATGAGTAAATATTAAGATATAATATTTTAAAAAATAATAATAAATAGTTATGGAATATATTTAGATATTTGTAATCCATTAATATTTTATATTAGTTTCATTAATTTATATTTTCTCCTTATTTTTAGGTATTAGTTGCACATCTAATCTAACTTCTATTTCTCATTCTTAATATAAAGATTTTTATATTTATATTTATATTCATATATAATATAAACTTACGAGGAATACATTCAAACATTGATAGTTCCGCCGGCAAAATCAAATCCCATAATATAAATTACTTTGGAGCGAAAGCACATTCAACAATCAAGCAAAAAAGAAGCCATTCAAAGTCTGAGCACCAGAAAGTTGTGTGAAAATAACCGGAAAATGCTCTGTTCAAACAAACTACGGAAGAGAATTGAGTGTTTGCGCTATCCACAATCCTCTCCGTGAAGAAGGGGGCGTTTCAATTTGGTAAGATTCATGTTTATCTGGCCCTGTTATTGTGTTCTGCGAATTTTAATTTTATATTGCCTATGTTCTTGTTTCGTGCCGTTCATTTCATGAATTTTTGCTACACGTATTACATAATTCATCGTATTTTCCAATTTGGGATATGGGGAACTTCAATTCTCTCGCATTTAATGCGTCCTTTTTGAATGTTCAAAACTTCATAGGAATCTTAACCCAAATCGAAAATTACGTATTTACGCCTCTTTTTGGCATCTTTCGTCTATATTAAACCTCCATCACCCACCATTGTTGAGTAAATCAGAAAGGCCACATGCACTGAAGCTTCTGAGTTTAAGCTTACACTGAAAGGTGATGCCTCTTCGTTATCTTTTCCCCTCCTCACTGTGGCTGGTGGGTTTGGATGATTTTAACGGTGGAAGAAATTTTTGGGTGTTTTTTTTTTTCGTTCTTTGTCCAGATTTTCCCTTGTTGGAACATTTGATCATCCAAAGAACTTGAGTTTTTGTTCCTTGTTGTTGTTGCTGCTTCTGGTTTAGACTTGGTTTGACTGTTTCCTCGGATTGATCTGAAAATCAGCTGAAGAGGTTATTGTAAATTAGATGAAGAGATGATGATGGATTTGAGTTTTTGTTTTTTCGTTTGCTTTAGAGATTCATGCAATTTGCCGTTGTAATAGATTGATTGCTTGTTAAAACCATTTGAAGAGGGTCATTCAAAATGGTGGAAGGAGATGCTGTAAAGGCAGACAAAGCAGAGTTTTTAGAATGTTGGCAGACAACATGGAAGACACCTTACATTATGCGCCTTGCTCTGTCTGCTGGAATCGGCGGTCTCCTTTTCGGATACGACACCGGTAATTCCTGACCCCGACCTCGACCCCGACCTGCATTGCATAATGATATTCTTCTTACGTTTTTGTTGCATTGCAGGTGTGATCTCTGGGGCTATGCTCTACATTCGAGAGGATTTTGAAGTTGTTGACAGGAAAACATGGCTACAGGCAAGTCATGCTTGGGCACTAAGTTGTTGCTGGTTTAAGTCTCTTTTAAGTAATGCTTACTTTGATCATTACAGGAAACCATTGTAAGTATGGCTGTAGCAGGTGCAATTGTGGGTGCTGCAATTGGTGGCTGGATGAACGATAAATTTGGTCGAAAAAAGTCGATTCTAGTTGCCGATGTCGTGTTCTTCCTTGGAGCTATTGTCATGGCTGTTGCTCCCTTTCCCGGGTTCATTATCGTTGGGAGACTTATAGTAGGTTTTGGGGTTGGAATGGCATCCATGACTGCTCCTCTTTACATATCAGAAGCTTCCCCTGCTAGGATTAGGGGTGCTCTTGTCAGCACTAATGGATTGCTAATCACTGGAGGACAATTCCTTTCCTATCTAATCAACCTGGCTTTCACTAAGGTAAAATGGAGCTTCCTTGTTGATGGTTCAAGTTATGAACTGTGAATTTTATGTTCTTATTTTCAGTTTTTTAGTTTGTATCTATCTTTGTTGCAGACCAAGTTAACATGGCGTCTAATGCTTGGAGTAGCAGGACTGCCAGCTTTGGTTCAGTTTGTTTTAATGTTGTCACTGCCTGAGTCTCCTAGGTGGCTTTACAGACGGGTAAAGTTTGAAACATTCTACAACCTTTTCCTACGAGCTTCCCAAACAAGAGTATTAGTAACTGTTTAAACTTTCTCGTGTCCATTTCTGTTTAGCTCTTATCAGTGTGCATTAGAAGTATTTGTAAGTGGAATACTACTTCGATTATTCTTAACTAGTGTAACAACCTGGCTTCAAACTAACTAGACTGAGCTCACCGCTTGTAGATGTAGTCCGTTTTGGCCCGTTTTAAAACACGTATGCTAGGGAGAGGTTTCCACACCCTTACAAGAAATGCTTCAACCGAATGTGAGAATTCTCAAGAGGTTTCCACAACCTTACAATAAATGCTTCATTTCCCTCTCCAACCGATGTGAGATTTCACAATCCACCTCCCTCAAGGGCCAGCGGGCATCTTGACACACCGCCCGTTGTCTGGCTCAAATACCATTTGTAACAATCTGAGCCCACCCTAGTAGATATTGTCCACTTTAGCCCATTATGTATCGCTAACAGCCTCACGGTTTTAAAACGCATCTCCTAGAGGGAGGTTTCCACTCTTACAAGAAATATTTTGTTGTTATCTCCGACCGATGTGGAATCTCACAACTATTTAGAATGCACGCTAAACACACACATTTGATGAATCATCGAAGTTCTAATCAAGGGCATTTTGATGGAAGATTTCCTTTTCAGAGTGAACACATGTTGCTAGTTGTTACCATCAAACTTACTGAAAACGAATTTTTCCTGATGATCAGGACAGAGTAGATGAAGCAAGAGGCATACTGAAGAGGATATATCCTTCTAATCAAGTTGATGAAGAGTTGAGATTACTGCATGAATCTGTAGAAGCAGAAAAGGCAGAAGAAGGAGCAATTGGAGATGGAAGTATAATAGCCAAAGTTAAAGGAGCTTTGAACAGCCAAGTCGTCCGAAGAGGGCTTTACGCCGGGATCATTGTCCAAGTAGCACAGCAGTTCTGTGGTATTAACACTGTCATGTACTACAGTCCAACCATCATCCAGTTTGCTGGATTTGCTTCTAATACAACAGCCATGGCGCTTTCTCTAGTTACTTCCTTTCTCAATGCTGCTGGCACTGTTGTAAGCATGATCACGGTCGACAGATATGGGAGAAGAAGACTTATGATGATCTCGATGATCGGAATTATCACTTGCCTTGTGGTGTTGGCCGGAGTGTTTTTCCAATCTGCTAGCCATGCTCCAGCCGTCAACGCCTTGGAATCCACTCACTTTGGAAGTAACTCTACCTGTTCAGCCTATATCTCAGCTCCAGACGCATCCTCATGGAACTGCATGTCATGTCTAAAACAAAATTGTGGATTCTGTGCCAATGGAGATAGTGAGGTAAAAGCATCAACTTCCTTTCTTTTTCTTATTTGCTTTAACAATCAACAGAAACTGATAAGTTGTATGCTGAACGAAATATCAGTATCTTCCTGGAGCATGCTTGGATTTGACAAAGGCCGTAAGGGGCAAATGTCGGTCGAACCACCGAGTATGGTTCACAGAAGGCTGCCCGAGCAAAATCGGCTTCTTGGCTGTGGTGGTGCTGGGGCTTTACATCATTTCATATGCACCAGGTATGGGAACAGTACCATGGGTGTTGAACTCTGAGATTTACCCACTAAGATACAGAGGAACTGGAGGAGGAATTGCTGCAGTTTCAAATTGGGTTTCAAATCTGATAGTGAGTCAGACATTTTTGACATTGGTGGAGGCTCTCGGGGCTGCTGGTACATTCCTGCTGTTTGCAGGATTCTCGTTACTTGGATTGGTTGGTATATATTTTTTAGTACCTGAAACTAAGGGATTGCAGTTCGAAGAGGTTGAAGAGCTGCTCAAGCAAGGGAAGAAGCACAAGAGCAGCAAAGGCCAGAAGGAAGTGTTAGCACAATGATTCTTGTATTTTGTTTTGTCTTTTAGGTAAATCTTCAGCAGAATTGACATGAACTTGTATTTAACTAAACTAAACTTCCTTGTGAATAAGTTTTGGTAAGTTGGAATAAATTGTGCACGACAACAATGCATGATTGACCATTATTTACTTCAGCTGGAGGACACCGACAGTTGGGTCATCTATCTTACGAAACTGGTTTTAAGAGGGAGATTTTTGAATAGAAATAGCAATGATCCACAGCACAGCAAGCAGCGACAGGACAAAAACATACCTGCTCAGCCAGCTAATAATTCACCTCTAAACGACAAGACATGGTAAAAGACTACAACCCTACAAAATATTTCTAAATCTATGGTGGGGCATCCGCCGCACCACACACAGCCTGTGCCTTCGCCTAAGATGATGTTCCATGTTCATGCAATTGCAAGAAAGCAAGAACAAAGCAAGAAAGTGAAGTTTCAAGGAGGAAAAGAAGAGAAGATATTAACTTTTGTGCTGAGTATCCAACACAATGAATTTACAAATTTTGTGCACTTCCCAGCACAGCTTTAATATGTGAAAAAAGATGATCAGTTCCACAGAATCTGGGTTCACCCATACAAGACACGCCCAACCAGAATTTCATCAAAACCCAGAAAACTAAACCTACTGATATCTCGGAACCTAGCTCAAAATCATACATCATCTTCTCTAACCGTCAGTTTTTGGCTTTACTAACTGCACTATTTGCTCCATTCTAATCATCGTTCTTCCAACATTCTCAACCACACTGTACAAACCATCTAAAAGAACCACTCCCTATATACAGCAATCAGGATACCACTACTTGAACTTGATAATACAATTACCTTCTGAAAAAACCCAGTTCAGGCCTTTTGTTTTAAGGACTTGATGAGGATGCTTCTTGTCTTGGTTCTCTTAAGTAACCCAGAAGAGTTTCCGCCTGCAAAAGAATTAGCAACTTTCCATCAACAAGGTGTTCATTTCATAGAATCAGTGTAGTAATTGGTGACTGATCAGTTTTTGGTAATCACCTTATGCTTTGCTCGAACGCTTCCAGTCTGTGAAAGTGCAACCAGAGGTGGAATTCCCCCCTCCCTTACGAGCAACCCTCTATTTCTTATACTGTCAACACACAATTGCAAGAGTGTCAACACTGCAAACTCTTTCCCTTTCACCGACCCATCTTCAATTGCTTCCACAAGTGCAGCAATTCCGTTCTCTTCCACGATTGCATCCTTTCCCTCTTGAATCGCTGCTAGGCTACTCAGAACTACCATCGCCTTCTCTGCTAAACCTGTACCTTGCTCCGCTACCAGCGCCACTAATGGCTTCACAGCTCCAGCAGTAACGGCACGCTCCTTGTTTGGTTTGATCGAGCAAAGCTTGTAGAGCGTCGTGAGCGCGTCCTTTTTCCCTCTATTCGATCCATTCAATAGCAGAGATACTAGTGGTGGGATGGCGCCGCAAACCCCAATCGAAATCTTGTTTTCCTCCAACAAAGCGAGGCTCATCAGAGCACACGCCGCATTCTGTTTTGAAGTTTCCGTGCCAGTTTTGAGCGCATAAACCAGCGATTTTATGGCTCCAGCATTCGAGATTATAACCTTATTAGACTCATGGAGTGAGAGATTCAGCAGGGCGGTTACAGCGTGCTCTTGCGTCCATGGATCGGTAGATCGAAGCAGAGGAATTAAAGCAGAAACGGCGCCGGACTCCCCAATGAGTACTCGATTATCGGACCGATTCTTCGCCAGAAGCCTCAGCTTGGCCGCCGCAGATCGCTTCACCGCAATTGACGACGACTGGAGCCCATCGATGCAGATCTTGACAGTCGGCTGCAGATCTTCGGGCGAAATACTCTCAATAATCTCAGTGGAGAAATTCTCCCTCTGCAGAAATCCTAAGCACGGCTCTGGCTCTGGCTCGGCAACTTCACCTTCTCTTTTAGGAACAACCGCCATGGACGGTAAATTTGCAAGTCTCTGCAACTCTCCCGAAATATCACTGCTACAAGCAGAGAAATCACTGAAAGCATGAGAAAGTTCAAGAAAATCCTGTTCCTGCTCAGACGATTGGTTAGCCCACTTAGGGCTACGAGATGCCAACTCCCCAAGCCTGAGGTCGATGACAGAATCAGTAAGATTCTCAGAGACGAAGCCGGATTTTCCTGCCACCGACCCATTAAAAGTGCAGCTATTATCATCTTGAAAGAAATTAGAGCGAATAGTGCGCATAGAACGGCCAATGTTCCTGCTAATTCTACTGGAAGTGGTAGAAGACGGACTGTAACAATTTCTCCCCAAAGGAAACCGATTAGAAGTGGAATGAGAATCCTCAAGCGACACCATTTCCAAAAGCGGAACTATAAATCTCAGTTCAAAACCCCCAAAATTCTTCGATAGGAGTACGAAAAACTCCGTCTGATTCTCAAGAAAATTTCATGGCCGGAAAAAGAGAGAGAAAGAGAGAGGAATTTGGTTTCTGAACGATTCGAACTTCGGCGTCCGTCTGGGTTTCGATACAGCTACGAGGCTTTGAATGGCTGCAATGATCACAAGCCATTTTAATAACCGAAACTTGGGCCACCCTCTTATCTCATCGGACCAAAGAGGAGGGTCTGACGTGACAACCGTCACAGCTCCCTGGCCGTGGGGTATGGATTCCATGTGTGGGACCGTCGGCAAGTGACCAAACCGACGTCGTTTCACTCCAAATCACAAAAAATCCCATTTATAATTTTAATTCCTTTTAATTAAAATTTTCTGGTGGGCGCAGCTTTTTAATTTAGACCCAACGGACTCGGGTGAAGAATTCACACAGTTGTGTAATGGGTATAGATCTTACGTGGCAGAATCGCGTCTGGGACTTTACGACAATAGTCAGCATACAGCTGTAACTTCAGCGCTGAAACTAACACGTGTCCGCTTAACATTACGCCGCATCGTATCCCAGCCATCGTTTCCTTTAAGGTGAGGCGCATGCACACGTGCCAAGGAATAACAATACACACGTACTTGACGGCGGAAGGAATTTTACAGTGGATAAGGGATAGCCGTAAGTAATGCCTCGTTTTACCACTAGGGTAAAAATATAATGAAAAATATGTATAATAATGTTTGTATTTTATTTAAAGTCGTACATTAGAAAATCAAATATGACTGTTGTACTTTAATCAAACAGCGTGTTGCTAGGTGTATTTTTCTGTATAATTATTTAATAAAACTATGCTTCAAAATAAATAGTTCCTGAGGTGTTCGTACAGACTAGACCATTCATTATATTGTGTGGATTTTCTTTTTAAACATTAAAAAAATTATTATTATTATTAAAATTTTATTTGGTATATTAAAAAGCAACTTTTTTTTCCTAATTTATATCTTTTATTTAGTTTATTTCGTTTAAATAAAATATGAAAATTCAAAGTGATGTGTACGTGGCAGGTAAATGGAATTATTCATTTATAATGTCATATGGGGAGATTTTAAATTATTAAATAGCTATATCCACTCTTTTTCACGTAATAAATGCATATTTTGGTGTCACGTCACATACTTTATAATATGCTTTTATTTTATTGACAAAATGAGTTATATAAAATTAAAATTAAAGAAAAATTATAATATTAAAAGACCGAAGGGAAATTAATTAATATTATGTGAGTTTAAATAGGGAAATTAATTAATAAATATATTTTATTTGGAAAAAAATGGTTGGTAATATGGGTTTCTTAACAGGGACGCTTACAGGGTGATATGATATAATCAATAGGGACATTAAATGTAAATTTATGAACAAAAAAGGAGAAGCACCAACTACATAATATTATGAGATTAATTAATTGTAATTAAGTGATTTAATTGTATTATTTGGTGCGGTTTTGGTCAACATGCTTAGCTGTCAATCACTCTAATTGTACGGTGATTAGGACACTTTTCTAATTAATCAACGTGGATTCAGATTTTGTTTGCTCCCATTCTTGAATCATGTATGTAAAATAAATATTTATAACTTTTTTAAATTAAAAATTTTATTTAAAAAAAAAAAGACTTTTTTTAAAAACAAATTTACAATTTTTAAGACTTTTTATAAAATTATAAAATTTAGTTTTTTTTTAAACGAGTAATAATAACCACAAATAAATCGAAATAAGGTTTATAAGTTTAATTTACTAAAAAAAAATTTAAAAATATCACTATCTTAACACTATATTTTTAAAAAAACCATAATTTTAAAATTAATATTAATAAGTTTTACTTTTATAAAAAAAAATTAAAATTTTATTACCGAAAACTTATAAATTATTTTCAAACTTTTTTATAAATATTTTTAAAACATCAAATAACGGTCGGAATATATATATATATATATATTAAAGTTTAAAGGTATTTTCAAGTTTTAATTTTTTTTAAGATATTAGCGAAAAAAAATTTAGTAGTATTTTTATTTTATTTTTTTAAACAAAATATTAATGATTTCTACCTAAAATTAGGGAAAATGTATTTTAAAGATTTTTTTTTTTTTAGACAAATCACATAATTTTTTAATTAATTTATCATATAAAGTTAATATGAACACACTCTTTTAGCACTAAAAAAGAAAGCCTATGAGGAAGTAATGTAGTGTGAGAGTTTAGGTAAAAAGGATTGATTATGAAATTTGAATTTACACCACACGGATTCAATTATGAGACCCATAAAGTTTGGTGATTTCATTTATAAAAAGATGCATTTTTTTAATATAAAGTTTAGTGAAAAATCCAGAATACTAAGTTTTGGAGTCCACTGCTCACAATGATTAGATATGAATTTGGGCATATATTATATAAGATTTTAATAAGCAACCATGTGCATACGTGACAATATTTTATGGGTTTGCTTAAAATGTTAAATTATTTTGTTTCTTTACTTTTTAACTCCAATTGACCATAGTGTTGGACTGGTTGGTTAGGCAAACCATCAAATATATTAAAATTAAATGGATGCTTCCAGAAGTCCTGGATTTGATTCGAACTTTGGTCCATTTACTTCTAGAAGTAATTTTAATGTGTTTTAAATATCAACTAGGCTTTTATTTATTTATTTATTTATTTATTTATTGAGCCATAAAATTATATTTTTATTCCTTTTTGACTAAATGAAGATAAATAATAAAGGACAAAAGAAAAAGAAAAAGAAAAAGGCAATTTCAAAAGGAAAAGCAACTCTCTTTATTAAAAATTAAATAAAAGACAATGATATTTGGGGGGAGTTAAAATTAGAAGATAAACTATATTTTTAATTTTATTTTTAAAAATTTAAGGATATTGATATTATCTTTCAAAATTTATGTCTATTTTTAAAATGGGAAAGAGATAAGATCCTTTCCTGAACCAGAATCGAGCACAAAATGCCGAGCTAAGTGGTTAAATGAGGCTGGAAAAGATAAAGGGAGGTTAATTGTCCTGACTAATCTCTCGGGTGAAATGTCTAGGTGACATGTGCATTCTGAAATCTTTCCATAATAAAGCAGGAAGAAGGGTGTGATTCTGGGCGAGATACCAGTTGAAAAAGTAAATTTAAATCAAAGGTATTTTTAAGTTTTTAAAATTTAAAAGGATATAAATTAAAGAGTTTTTTTTGTTCTTCTTTTTTAAATTAATTTTAATGGTAAAGTAGTCGGTGAAGTGGGTAAGTAATTCTGGGCTCTGCTTTTTCTTCCTCTTCTTGGACCTAATTATTTTTATTCCCATAAAATAATAATTTTCTCATTTAATACTGAGTTGTTGAACCCTCCTTTCTACTATCATTTAATTATTTTTCCAAAAAGTCAACCTCACCTTTTTTTTTTCTCATTTAATTTTTCATATTTTTTCTTCAACATTCATTTTCATTATTCCCATCAACTTTAATTTCTCACCCACTTTTTCATATTACAGTAATAAAATATAAAATTTAATTCAAATAAAAAATGATATATTTTATCTTAATTTAAAAAAAAAAAACTGGTATTTTTATTTGAAGACATAATTAAATAAATGGGCTAAGGAATTGCTACATATTTTCTTTGAAAATAGCCATAATAATTCTTTTTGGTTGGCTTTTGGGCCCACCTCCAACTCACATACCTCTACCTAGCCCCCTTCAATTAAGCCAGAATTATTTAATATCCATCATACATTTATGTGAAGGAATATAATTTATTGTTTTTAATATATATTTTTAATTAACCTCCATATTGAAACAAAATCTTAAATTAAATAAAATACCCAAGAACGTTTTAATAATGTTTTTGAATTTTGAAAAAAAAAAAAATTTATTCAAAAGCCCACTTCCTAGCCCCTAAATTCCTTCTCTTCCGTTCTAATGGACTTGGATTAACATCAGCCCATTTATTCAAGCCCACTGGGCTCTTGGGCTCTTGGGCTCTTGGGCTCTTGTTTTCCTCAAGCCCGTTTCCACTCTGCACGGATTCGACTTATATGCTTGAAGATACACTCTCATCAAGGATGTGCCAAAGCTTCAACAAATGCCTCCTTGAGAAGTGGATTAGAGGAAGCAACTCTCGTTGCTGTGATATCAAATTCTGTACCAGATCTGAAGCAAGAACATCAAAACAAACAAACAACAAGCTTTTCAGCTCTGAAGAAAGCAAACAATAGCATGAAGAGAAATTTCGTGTGATTACTTACGGGTCATAAACCAATCCTCCAGCTTCCGTAACGATCACGGCGCCAGCAGCCACGTCCCAAGGACCTCCATAGCCATTTATATAAAATAGATCGATTCTTCCATACGCAATGTCGCATAGACTTAATGCACATGATCCACTTATCCTAAGAGATCTCGCCTACAAGCATAATAGATAGACTGATGATAATAAACCAAAGCCAATGATTGAACTAAGATGTCAACTTTCAAATGAGCTTAAAAATGCACCTTAAAGAGAAGCCTATTGATTCTGCCAGTAGTAGCATCTATATACGATTTGTCACGTGTTGCTGCAATCTGTTCATCCAGCATTCAACAGTTACGATTGGTTTTTTCGTGTTATTCAAATTTGTTTATTAAAAACCATACGTGATTTAACCCTGTTTTCACTCTTTAATTTGAAGTGTGCCATAAGATCTTGATTTGAATGCTGACTTTTACCTCAATTGCCAGAAGAGATTTCATTAGTTCATCTTGGGAGGATACTGCAGTATGTAGAAATTCATTTAAGAATTTGATGTGATGCGACAAACCTAACCATGTAACAGCCCAAGCCCCAGCAGATATTATTGCCATCTTGGGCTCTCTTTCGAGCTTCCCCTCTAAGTTTTTAAAACGCATCTGCTAAGGAGAGATTTTCATACCCTTATAAAGAATGTTTTGATCTCCTCCCCAACCGACGTGGGATCTCACAATCCACCCCCTTTGGGACCTAGCGTTCTCGCTCGCACTCGTTCCTCTCTCCAATCGATGTGGGATCTCACAATAGTTAGGGAGGAAAACGAAACATTCTATATAAATGTGTGGAAACCTTGACATAGCAAACGCATTTTAAAAACCTTGAGGGAAAGTCCGAGAGGGAAAACCCAAAGAAGACAATATCTGCTAGCCATGGATTGGGCTACTACAAACCATGCCTAGTGTTTTTGCTTGAAAGGTAGAACTTAAAAGATCACATGAACTCACCTTTAATGGCTTTCTCATTGAGATACGCCCCTTGTCCACGAATGCCAGTAAAAAGCTACACATGATACAGACACGATTGAATAGAACTATAAATGACTTTGGCCAATAAAAGCCGATAAGATAGCCAATATTAGAAGTACAACGATAAAATCAAAATAATTGTAAAGTTTCAGACATTATAAAGCAGAATCCAAACTATACTGTTCTAACAGTCATACACATTTCCTCACCTCATCAATGATTGGATTGAATACAACACCAACTGTTGGAACTTTGCCAATAGTTAAACCAATTGAGACACAAACAAAGGGAAACCTGACAATTTTTTTGACAGTTAATGAGATTTTTATAAACAAGAAATAAGATTGGATAACCACAGAGCATAGATAAATTAGCACCCGTGAACAAAGTTGGTAGTTCCATCGATGGGATCTACTATCCATGTGGGCTCATCAGTCAGCTCTACAGCACCATTAGCAGCTGTAGTTTCTTCACCAATAAACTAAAACAATGAACGATTGAACCAAATAAGGTCACAGTCCAGTCAAGATTACAGGGCTTTCCCATGAAGAAACTGACTAAAACTCTACCTTGTGCGACGGAAAACGCTGCTTGAGATGACCAAATACAAGATCTTCACAAGCTTTGTCAGTTTCAGTGACCAAATCCACCTGTATTCCAAGACAAAACATAGTAGAATCCATAAACAAAAAACGGATTCAAATTCGACACTGATAATGACGACAATAAAGCGGTACCTCTCCTTTGTGTACGACATGTTTAGTTAGGTAGAATTTCTCACGAATCAACTACAAGAAACGAAATAAAATTAAAATCGGAGAAAAACCAAAATCAACAGTAAAAATTGATTAGGAAAGCGAAAAGAGCACACGATCGTAAGCAAGAACAAAGACTGACCTGACCGGCTTTCTTGGCAGCATCGACAGCAGCGGCAAGGAACTCTTGAAGCGAACCTAAAATCAGACGATTTTTTGTTTGCAGAAATGATTAGAATGGGAGATTAGGGTTCATAATATAGAAATGAAATGGAAAAATTGAGAAGTTGCGAGGCGAAATCAAGACGACAAATGAGGGATTCATTAGCCTACCCACCATGATCAGACATTGTTGGTTACTGGAATAGGGAAGGAGGGAGTTGAAAAATGGCATCAGAAAAGTAGCATCTTTCATCCGTTCATCTGATCCATGTTGCCCAAGTAGCTTAGACCCTAAGCACACTCATTTATTTATGGCTTCAATAAAAAAAAAAAAAAAAAAAAAAACATGTTAATTACTACTATTTTAATTTTGATTTAAAAAGGAACTTGAAATCCGGACGGTCGGATTTCTATGGGGATGAACTTGAACTGCAAAGTGGAGAGATCAGGGCCGTACAGCTGTATAAACCATGTTCGATACAGTGAAGTTACGGTGTAACTGATGCACCAGAGCATTATCGGCTTCTAAATAGGAAAGTGTTATTACCATTTGCAGAAATTTCGCAGTGGTTGGTGATGACGACTCCGACGTGAACTATTTCAATTTTCTTCCCCTTTCATTCTTCACGTTCTCTCCCACCTTCGCCGATCGCCGCCCGCCGTACCTGCCTTCTATCTATTTATGTGCTCCGGCTTTTCACGTTGATCGGCCTTTTGTTTTACTTGGTGGTGGTGGCCCACCTTCAATGTCTATCGCCGAATTTCCTGCCACCGTCGAACGGGTCCACATCAACAGCGGTACTGCCGACGCCGAACACTGCCTGCTTAATCGCCACAACTCTCAGGGTCACCGTCATCATTGCGTCTCGTCCAAGCGCAAGTTAGATGACTATGCTGCCAGTCTTGACGACGAGGACGAGGACGCTCCGTTGTTTGACTTAATTTCTATTAGAATGAAGAAAGACGAAACGAGTGCGATCGACTCCTCTTTTGACGGCCGGTTGGGTGAAGGAACTAGCTCCGACTTTGAGTATCGGGGTTTTGATGATTCCTCGACCTCTATGGCGGCAGAAACCTCACCAAAGCCCATTCTCTCTCCGCACGAGTTGCAATTTTTTGTCCGAACGATGTCCGTCGGGAATACTATGGTAATGCTCGCCAATACTAACGATACAGTGATGTCGCTTCATGAGCGGATACAATCTATTACGCGCATACCAGTTTTTGAGCAGAGGTTGATATATCGGGGAAGGCAACTCCAGCACGAACAGTCACTACGCGAGTGTTCGATACAGAACAATGCCGAGCTGCAATTAGTTGGTCGCATGAGGAGCACGGAGCATCCGAAAGCTTGGCAGATTGTTGACGACATGGTTTCATTGGTTCTACGACTTTATAGGGGGGAGGTTGTGTTTTCTGCTTCGGAAATTCTCACTACCTTGATGACCGATTTCTTAAGTTTGGCTACGCAAACGGACTTAGATCCGGCAATGAAGCAACTCCAGGTTTTCTTGTCCCTTTCTGCCCCAGCAGCGCTAGTGATGCTTTATTTGTCTCCGATTAAAGGAAATACAGATTGTGCTGATAATTTGATTAAGCATTTTATGGATTTGCTTTGTCATTCAGTTCCCAAATCGTTAAAAAAGTGCTGTGCGATTATAGTATTAGAATTTTGTAATTTGCTTAGGAGAGATACTCCGGAGGACAGTTTATATGTTTTATGCCGCAGTACACTGGGCTCATTGTTGGAAACTGATGGCAATAGTCGCGGGATGAGATGCTTAGAAAGTGTTTGGGGACCCATCAAAACGCCCGAGCTTTTTCCGTTTGTTAATGAACTGGCCAATAAATTGTCCATCGACTTATCCTCAAGCATACGGTCTCCCACAAGTGCAGGGCCTTCTGTGACTGATATTAGTGATTTTACAGCATTTTTACTTCCTTTACGCAATGCAATTCCAGAGAAATTGAGTTTTCATGGCTCCAAGAATGTGCCACTGGATAGGGGAGGCTTTAGGGATTCTTCTTATGGAGAAGAGGGTGAATTTCTTCATAATATATATCTTAGTTTGTTGAAACAGATGGATATATGTCTTCAAGGAATGGAAGCTTTCTTGACCGATAAAGGAAAGGGGAACTGTGTAATCCCCTACATAGGATGGTCTCAGTATCTTCCAATTCTAAAAGAATTGAATGACATCTCCCTTCTTTTCCAGGGTCTTAAAGAAGAATTTTGGGCAATCATGAGGCCAAGGAAATCTTCTATTTGTGAGCTCATTATTAGATTTGCAAAGCGAGCTGATGATTATTCGTGGATTCTTTGCCACAAGGATGTAATAAATTCTGAATCTAGAAGACATCTGTCAATGCTTATGTTTCCTGAGCCAACAGAGGATTATGAGGAACTGCAGGAAATGCTGATTGATAGGTCCCAATTATTGGAAGAATCTTTTGAGTACATCACAAATGCGAGTGTTGAGGCTCTACGTCATGGACTATTCGTGCTATTCAAAAATGAGGAGGCTACGGGCCCTGGTGTCTTGCGAGAGTGGTTTTTGCTGGTCTGCAAGGCTATTTTTAACCCACAAAATGCCCTTTTTGTTGCATGTCCTAATGATCGAAGAAGGTTCTTTCCCAACCCTGGTGAGCTTACTGACGTGTTCCTTTGATAGTAGTTTTTATTTGATACTTGTTCTTCTGAATGTAAACGAGTAACCATGATTATGAATACAGAAGTTGCCTAAATGTTTTTCACTTTTAATAAAGTTACAGTACTTCTTACCCATACACCAAGTGGGGAACCTCCCACGCAGGTTGCTTTTGGATTTCATTTTGCATGAATAAATAGAAGTGATGCTATTTAGTTGATTTTGCTAGGTAGGGCTGGTAGACCAAGTGCTTATTAAACTGATACTTTCAACCATACCAGTGGACTCTGTAGGTTAATCGTTCATTTGGTAAATAAAGAAAATTATTAAAGTTTTCCATGATGCATCATTAAGTGTATTCCTCATCAATTGTGTGCACCAGCAAGTTCTAATGTCATTCACTGCTTTTTTTAAAAATTTAATTGAAGAGAGTATTTGATTGTACTCAGCTTGCTTTTAGCCTTTCTGTCACTGCATCTATGGCAACATTTAATCGCAAGATAATTTTGGAGGAAGATGAGTTGGTAGGCGAAGTGAGGCAAAACAATGATTTAGGGACAGATTTTATTAGTTTTGGTGGCTGTGAGATCTGAAATCAGATTCTCAGGCACTGTTCACATGGTGGAAAGGGCATAAATTACAAAAACTAAACGACTGAAATTTTGCCTCATGTAACTCATGAACCCCTCTTTTTAGATTCAAGTTAGTAAATCTCAAACTAAATCGATTATGTGGGAAAGTTGTAGGATCTTAGGTATTGTGATTACTTATTAACTTGGTTGGAAGATTTTTTTTTTGGAGAAGAGATAGGATGATTTCATTCCAAAAGATCAAAGATACTGCCAAAGGCAAGTAAATTATCTAACTCCTTCCAATGAAAGATTTCAAAAGATCAAATTGGTTGAAAGGTTTGACTGTGCAAAGAGTGAAAGATGTGAAACTCTATGAGTGAAAACCATTCATTTTTGAGATTCTGTTGAAGAGGCGAAAAAGAGATCTGCCACTTGGAAAAGGAGCTTCTTTTCGTACAGTAGTAGACTGATTCTCATTCATTCGGTGAGTGGTATCCCTCCCTATATTTTTTTTTTTCTCTCTTTAGAGCCCTTGTTCTATCTGTAACACCGTCGAGAAACTTATGTCGGATATTTTATGGGAAGGAGGTTAAAAGGGGAGAAGCACACAAATGAGGAATTGTTAGGTTGTGGGAAACCTGACTTGCAACAAACCGTTGCTGACCAAATGGCTCTGGCATTTCCTTGATGAGTATAATATTCTTTGGCATAGGATTATTGTGAGTAACAACGGTCCTCATTTGTTCGAATGAGCAATGGGTGGGATTAAAGGCACTTATAGAAGTTCTTAGAAAGACATTTCTTATATGCTTCCTTCCTTTTTGGATATGATTCAATGTTATGTGGGTAATGAGAAGGAATGTACTTGTGGGAGGATAAGTGGTTGTGGGATAGATCCTTTTGCTCTACGTTTTCCCATTTATATCATATGTTCTCTGTAAAAAGTTGTTTCGTGTCTAATATTTTATTCCTTCATGGAGCTTTAACTCTTTGTTGTTTGGTTCCTTTGTTTGTTATCTGATCATTGGAGAGTTTGAGCTTAGGCCATGGAGAGGGATATTCACTCTTGATGTCGTAACCCCATCGGTGTTTTTTCTTCCTATTCGTTCTTTTAGCATTTGTTGAACCCTTCTTTGTTAAGGTTTAATTGGTGAGTTCATTTTTTTGGTTATGTGGAAGGTGAAAATTCCAAGGTTTAATTCTTTGTTTGGAGGTCATCCACGGAAGGGTAATACCTTAGATTGGCTTTCAAGAAAGATGCCTTTTTGGCTGGGCCTGTTTATTGCATTCTTTGTTAGAAGGCAGAGGCAGATCTTGTTCATTGTGTAGTTGCGACTATACTTGGATGGTATGGAGTCTCTTTTTTCGATGTGTTCAACATTTAGCTTGCCAAACACAAAGACCTTGGGGAGATGATTGAGAAGTTTCTTCTTTATCCACCTTTTTGAGGGGGCGGAGATTTTTGCAATAAGGGGAGTTTGTGCTTTGTTATGGGGTTTGTGGGGTTAGAGAAATAATAGAACTTTTAGAGGGTTGTAGACAAATCCTAGTGATGTTTGACCCCTTGTCATTGAAACGTTCTTTTTTTCAATGGCTAAAAACATCATATCATGTACTACTATCAGCTCGATTGAGCCAAAAGTTCTTCAAGGAGAAATATTTTCTAGAACAGACCATTTGGATAGATAATCTCACCAACAAAAAGGGTATTGTTGCTGAAATCTCTCTGCTTCATGGAAATGGTATTCTTAATGAGCTCTTTATTCCAGTGGGCGAAGAACGAAAAGGTTGGACAAGTTTCTTCAACCTTCAACCTCATTGAAACTACCTTCCGTCGCCCACCAAAAACCCGACCAACAACCAAATTTTAATCAACCTCATAATAGAAAGGAAGATCACAATCGCCTTATCTGACTCACACAACCCTTGCTTACTACTAAAAAAACTGCCACAAATGTCAGAAATATACCTCTCGATCCTTGCTTATACAAAACTCTTCAATAATACTGGTTACCTCGCTATATCTTGGTGTAAATTCTCCAATATTGATTACCTTCCTATACTCATAAATCCCTCATTTTCCTTTTTTTGTTTAAACATCATGGATAACATCCCTTCCGTAAATATCAAACATCAATGAAGTTGTCTCTTATTAAAAGAAAATGTTTCTCTGTAGGTGTCGTCCATGAAAGTTTTTGTAATTATTTTTTAGGTTGGATCTCCTTCCATTGGTTGGACATTTTTGTGGGCTTGATTTTTTTGTGTGCCTGTATTATTTCATTTTTTTCTCAATGAAAGCTCGGTTCTTTACTAAAAAAAGAAATCGACAGATTCAAGATCTGCTCTACCACCCCCACTTAACTGCTTTGGTATTGGATAGTGCCTCTTGTCCAATTAACTGCTCTGTTCTTGGATAGTATCTGTTGTTCCCTGTGATAATGAAGTTTGTAATTTACCAGTAGAATTGAAGAATATGAAGTTTAAAGCTATTTTTGGTTAATTACTAATCTAAACTCGATAAGAATTAAGAGCAACTCTTTTAATGCAGCAATATAAAGTATGTGGGAAGTAATTTTTAAGGCTGATGTATGTGGGAACTAGCATTCATATTCTCATCTGAGATTTTAAGATCCTCAAGTGCAGTGTGCCTTACTCAGTTATGGTGCTGTTTATAAATTGTGTGTGATGCAAACATTAGTCGCAAATTATTCATATCTTTACATGTATGATTCTATGTTGCAGTTTCGAAGGTGGACCCTATGCATCTCAGTTATTTCAGTTTTTCTGGCCGAGTTATTGCACTAGCTTTGATGCATAATGTGCAAGTAGGTGTTGTCTTTGATCGTGTTTTTTTCTTGCAATTGGCTGGAATGTGCATCTCCTTGGAAGATATACGAGATGCTGATCCTTACTTGTACGGTAGCTGTAAGCAGATTCTTGATATGGACGCTGAGCTTGTTGATTCAGATGTTTTAGGACTTACATTTGCTAGTGATTTCGAGGAGCTAGGGACAAGAGAAGTTGTGGATCTTTGTCCTGGAGGCAAAGACATGGTTGTCAATAGTAAGAATCGTAAGGAATATGTTCAGCTTCTCATAGAGAACCGCTTCATGAAATCTGTCTCTAAGCAGATATCATATTTTGCAAATGGTTTTACTGATGTACTTGCTGATAAACGATCACACAAATGCTTTTTCCAAAGCCTAGAGCTTGAAGATCTTGATTGGATGCTATATGGGAGTGAAAGTCAAATCTCTGTTGAAGATTGGAAGGCGCACACTGAATACAGTGGCTACAAAGAAACTGATCCTCAGATATCCTGGTTCTGGAAGGTATGCATTTCTAGAATTAGTTTTTAGTAGTAGCTTTATCTTCAGTGTTTTGCACGGTTTGCCTGCTGTTCCTTTTCACAACTTCACAATTGGTTTGCATATCACATTCCTTTTAAGCTTTTGCATTAATGTATCATCTTGCGTTTATATGCAGCTAGTAAATGAAACTTCGATGGATTATTAATGATGAGTTCCCTACTTCTCATGGCAGATTGTGTCTGCAATGACACCGGAGCAGAGGGTTAATCTTCTGTTCTTCTGGACCTCAGTGAAATACCTTCCAATCCAGGGTTTCAATGGCTTGGCTTCAAAGCTGTACATTTACAAGTCTTCATCGCCATACGATCATCTTCCCTCTTCTCATACATGCTTTTTCCGGTTGTGTTTCCCTCCTTATCCCTCCGAGTCGATCATGAAAAGACGCCTCGAAATTATCACTCAAGAGCACATTGGATGTAGCTTTGGTACATGGTAACCCCCCTTTTGCTTGCTCGTGTTCCAGACTTCCAGTCCCAGTACATTTATGGTATACTGTTGTCTGCACATATTTTTGTTCTTGCCTTGTACAGAATCCATAGATACAAATGTCATACTTGTGTTCTGTGAATCTGACTCCGTTTTAACTGTTCGATGTCGTTCTGTTAATAAAGTGTCATTTCTGCTTTTGTCAATGTCCAAAACTATGCTACAGAAAAAAGCAAAATGTTCTCTGCACTGACTCTTTGGGTCGAGGCTGTGTACATGTTTATAAATGCCCTATTGTTTGCTTTGATCTGTTACATATCGTCTTCAGCTTCACGATTTTAAAACGTGTCTACTAGAGAGAAGTTTTCACACCCTTATAAGGAATGTTTCGTTCCCCTCTCTAACCAACGTAGGATCTCATGACAGAGAAATTTGATAACAAGTTTGGTCCTTTTGTTCATCTAATTTAGGGTTAGAATTTTAGGTTTATGTCTAAGAAACCCGTCCCTTAATAGAAATCTTTGAACTTCCAATATTTAGTTTAGTAAGCATTGATTTAATTTATATATGTTGAGTTAGAATGAATGTTTGACCAATTTGAAGTGTATTTAGATTGGTTGTTGAATAAAAGAGGAAAGAAACAAAGGAAACAATGTTATGTTGTGAGGGAAGGATAATTTAGAACACCATATAAGATTTAAATATGATTTTATTCAAAGCTAGAGAACAACATATCCCAACCACACAGACTAGCAAATGAAACGACTCTACTGGGACTGAGCTTCATATCCCATATTTGCAACCTTAAATTCCAACTCTGTGTTTTAATTCATAAAACAAACACTGAGACACCAAATAAAACTAACTTTTAAGCCCACCCTTCTCCATTGCCTTGTCTCCTTATTCCTCTTCCTTTGGCTTCTCTTCCTCAGCTGGTGCTGCTGCTGCTGCTGCTGCTGCTGCTGCTTCTGAGCTCTCTTCAACAGTCTCTTCAGCCTTCACTTCCTGAGGTTCTTCTTCTTCTTCTTTTTTCTCTACCACTGGCTCTTCTGTTTCCTCTTTGGTCTCTTCCTTCTTCTCTTCCGCCTCGGCCGCTGCTTCGGGCTCGGAAGCAGCAGCAGCTGCAGGCTCTGCCTCCACTGCCTCCTCTACCACAACTTCCTTGGTTTCGACCTCGGGTTCGGCTGCGACCGGTGCTGGTTCCTCTGTCTCAACAGCTTCAGAGGCAGCTTCCTCCTCCTTTGCCTCTTCTGCAGGGGCTGCTTCACTCACTGCCTCCTCTGCAACTTTCTCCTCAGCTTGGACCACTGGAGCTGCCTCAGGCTCTGCCAATACAACGGGGGCTGATTCAACCTGCCACACCCAGATCGCACAATTCATTATGGATTGCCATTCAAACACAATATGTTCAAACAGCCTTCAATGATCATATTCATATGAGAATGTGATCCAATACCCACAGATCATTAAATCAGTAACAACATGATCACACTCATACAGCCATTGTTAGAATACCAAAAGAAAAACAAGAAAAAAGATCTTAAAGCCATGAGAGAAAGCTATAAAAGCTTGAAATTACCTCAATGGTGGCCATTTGGGAAAGGGAAGAAGAAGCAATATGGAAGCGAAGAAGAGAATTAAGCTTAGAAGAAACTAAAATACTGAGAGAGAGCGAGTTGATGGAAAGAAGCAGCAGAGAGAGAGGGTTTATATAGGTGTATGAAAAATGGTGAATTACAATAAAATATAATGAGGTTGGGGAAAAGAGGAAAATAGCCATGAGGACTCCAAATAATCCTTACTAATTTTGCCACCTCATTTACCTGACATTCTTTGGAATCACATTAATTTTGTCTACCTCTCCTTATTTTCCTTTCAAAACACTCAATAATACACATTTAGTAATATATAACTATCTCACATGCTACGTATTTATCCAAAATGTATTTGCCCCAACCGTATCCCGTATTTATTTAAAATGCTTTTGTAACAATTCAAGCCCACTACTGGTAGATATTATCCTCTCAAAGTCTTAAAACACTTATGTTAGAGAAAGGTTTCTACACTCTCAATAGAGTCAAGCACTGAACAGTGTGCCAGTGAAGACGTTGGGCTCACAAAGGGTGTGAATTGTGAGATTCTATATTAGTTTGAGAGGGGAACAAAACGTTCCTCAGTAGAATGGTAAACTTGAATAAATACCGTTCTTGGTTCAATATTTAATATTTTAATCGATAATATATTTTTTTTACTATTTTCTCATAGCATGCAAGTTGGGGGTTGTTTGAAGAGAAAATATTGAAATAATAAATGATATTTAATTAGGTTGATGAATAGAAAAGGAAATAAATAATGGATGTGTGTGATTGATGTGGTCGCTGACGAGGCAAAAAATAGGAAAGGGGAAGGTAGGCCGGTGGCTTACGTGGGCCCCGGGCCCACCAAATACGATCTTGACCGTTGAATGAACATCAGAGATGGACCCCATGACACTGAACCTTGCTGGCGTGGCACCATTTGGGTTTCATGAATTCAGTCCCTTGCGATTTCGCCTTTTAGGGTCGTAACCGCCCTTTGCTTTTGGGTGGGCCCTCCTCAATTGCTTTCCAGGTTGGACGCTCGTGACCCCGGCCCCACCTCCACAAACCCACCATTTAATTTGCCACGTCATATCTTACTAATCTGCTCAACTTAACAAAACCAAAACAAGATAAAATATATATATATATATATATATATATATATAACCTTTATTAATAATCCACGTCGGTAATTTATGATGCGCTGTAATTTTATCCATTAAATTTTTTTACTTATATATTAAATATGATAAAAAGTAAAATAATTAAAATACAATCATGAACTCTTAGTTATTATGTTATTAATTATTTATTTGAAGGGTTCAGATTTTTAGAACCATAGAAAACACAAAATTTAAAATTTCAAAGGTTTTTTTTAATAATATTACACTAAATTAAGCTTCTAAATATCAGATCCAATGCTAATTCATCATTACTTATATCTTGTATTTTTAAACAATTTATATTAATCAATTAAATATTAATAAATATTACAAAATAAAATAAAAGGGCTATTTATGTGCTTCTATACTCTTCCAATCATATTATTTTAAGCCTCAAAATCTAAAAATAATTGTGAATTATCGTCGGGATTAACAAGGGCAATTTGAGTAAATAAGAAACTTATGGGGGGTGGAATTGTGAAAAAGGTGAAAATTGGGGACGGTAAAATAATATAGAGGGAATTAGAGGGTGGATCTCAATACATTTTAGCAATTTGGAATTAAGGCAAGTGGTCAACTGAAAATGCGTGCCATCATGCATTGGCCTTGCCTCCTTTTTATTATTATTATAATATCGAAAAGATTGATTGACAGCTGGACGGTGTATGATCTCCTTTTCCACGGGACCCACTAGCGTACTGCCGCTTACTGCTCCAATTATATTTAGCCACGTGTAGATTCCTAGCATGGAACGACATACTTCTCTGGCGTTTTGTTTCTTTTTTAAAGTTGCACAAGTTTATTATCTAATTTCTTTCTTGTATTTATTTAGATTTTTAATATTGAAAAAACTTTTGATTTCGTGTTCACAATTTTTATTTTATGGACATTTTAAAAAATTTAAATTTAATTAACCAATCATATCCAATGAACTCAAAACGTTAAATATTTAATAAAATGCACAATTTAAAATTCATATAAATATTAGATATAAAATTACTTATCGATGACTGACGTACCAACCAAAATTCATAGATTTATTATTTTTATTTAAAATTTTAAAGACAAAATAGTTACTCACTTAAAAAAATTTATAATTAAACTTACCATTTAAACCATCTTTTATAAATAAATTATTTAAATAAATGATTATATTTAGTTTAATTTCAAATATTTTTAATAAGAGATATGTGAGATAAGAAATATATATTTTTAGTGATTTTAACTATTATAAATAATCTTTATTAAATTACAAATTAATTGAAAAATTATAAATTTATTTGGAAAATATTTAATAAAGTAGATTTCTAGATTTTAATAAGATCCTTTCAAACTTGTATTTGAAGTAAAATTAAAAACTCTTAAATAATATAATAAAATTTGCAAATTAATAAATAAAATGAAATATTACCTACTTTGAAATTAGATGCCGATGATGGATTACAATATGAGTGGATGTAGGGGATTAGGTTGCACGTAGGCGTTGATGACGTGGGGCCACTCTCCCCAGGCTCCTTTGTGATTGTGGGGCCCATCAGTGGAAATAAATAATTAAAAACCTTAATTATTCTCCAAATTATGTTAATGTAGTCGTGCCTTAAGTCATGTGGTGTAGTACCATTTTTTATTTATTTATTAAAATGTTTGTCCCCACATTTATATCCCGGGATAATTAAAAATGATAATATATGAATTATTTTCATTAAAATTGAATATTCGTAATTTTTATATTTTTAAAATTCAAATAAAGAAAATGAGAGAAATATACCTTTTTTTTTTTTAATTTAGTAATGTTTTTCCCATACACAATAATTAGGGGACAATTACCCCTCCAATTTACTGCGAGACAATTACTGTGTCGAATATTTTCGTTAAAATTAATTACCATAAAAATTAAGTTACGAAGGTATTATTACATATAATTTAAAAATGATAAATAGTAATCGGCGGCAGGTAAACACGTCAGACCAGGTTGGCAAAAGGAGAGTCCAACTTGGAAAGGAGAAACACAGATCATTATGTGGTTGCTGCCACGTGCCACCACGTTTATATGCGTAGTTTATTTATTTATTTTTATTTTTATTTTTATTACAATTTTGTGTGTAATTAATTTGTCTGAGAAGTCTTTAACAACGTAAGTTATCGAAAACTCAACGGCTTTTTGTCTAAATCTGACTTTATGGAAAAGCTTAATCAATATCTTACTTTTAATATGTTTTTTAATTTTTTTTATTATTTAACGACACCACGAGAGAATATTAAATCATCATTTTAAAAAAATATAATCTACGTTCATTTATTGAATTATACTTGAATTAATTTTTAATATTAGAAACTATATCAGATACGACATATTTTTACACATAACTATTTTTTTCTTATAATATTTTGATTAATTGATTGACATATTATTTATCGACAATCATTCATAAACATACCTTATATTATGTTAAATTACTTTTCATTATAGGAAAATGACACAATTACTTGTAATTTAGTGTACCAAGGCCCAGCTCAACTATATTGTATGAGGCCCATTCCTAATCAACTGTATAAAAGCCCATTAGATCTTTGCCCATTAAGTTACTCTTTAATAATATAAGAAAGAATTATAATTTACATTTATATATGTAGATTTTTTTTTTTTTCTTTTACCTTTATATCTATTCAAAATATATTATGAACTAATTTTTTTAATATTAATTTTCATAGTGAATCAACATTTTTATTATATTATAAAAAAAATTATAAAATATATAACATTAGTACGATACGTAAAATTATTATATTTTTACAAATTTATGTGTTTAATATTGATATAAAAAGTGAATCGACATTTCTATTATATTATAAAAAAAATTACAAAATCTATAAAATAAGCAATAAAATAAGCAATAAAATTTACTAATACCGTAAAATTATAGGGTCATATTTCATTAATATGTTACCGTAAAGTTCTGTCGAGTGCAAAATAATACCCAAAACCCAGCGGCTAAGGCCAGCGCTCGTGTCGCTTCTCTCACTCTGCCTATCACATTCAAAGCGCAGAGGCCGGGGTTTATCGGCCGGGAGATGCGAAAACAATGCTTCAGGTTCTCAATTTAAGCCCTTCATCTCGGAGTCTCGCCCTATCGACCTCCGTTTCCGATGACCCAACTCGCTCCGGCCTCCCGTTACTCCGCCCTCGAAACGCAACGCACGAATGGGCGCTTTTACAGTCCAAGCTCAAGTGCAACAGCAGATTCTCTTGCCTTTTCTCAGATAATCGAAGGGAGGTGCTGAATTTTTCTTTTATTTGTTTGTTTCAACCTTGCCCTGGTTAGAATTTGTAGCTTGTTCTTTTTTCTGTTGTGTTCGTTGTCAAGAACATAGTTATTTTCTCCTGGGATTGATATTTCCCGCTTAGCTTCTTTTGAAAGAGAAGTGGGTGGCGGAACTTTGTGCAGTGGGTTTGAATTCTGTGGCTTACTTTTTGGGGGAAATTTTGAGAAACAGATAGAACACTGTTTGGGTAATTAGTTCAGAGGTAGGATGGGAGATGGGGATGAGTTGGAGTAGGAATTTAATACCCATTATTCCTTAACAAGCATCAAGTGATGAACACTGGTTGGATAGCTTTGCTCGGTATTGCTAGCTATTTGTACATTTATTAGAAAACTTTAGTGGATACTGATCTTCTTATACTTGAATTCTTCAACTTAGAAGACCATAAAGATAAGCTTTTCTACGAAGAAACCTATAAATTTTCTGATGTATTTTGGTTGTGGGAGGGGGGATTTTGATGGTTTTATGATCTATGTAATGTCCAGAAGAATTGTGGTTATATTATCCGCGTCCCACATTAGTTAACTAAGGATTGAACATGGATTTATAAGTAAGAAATACATCTCCATTAGTATTTGATATGAGGCCTTTTGAGGAAACCAAAAGCAAATCTCCGAGAAGCTCAAAGTGGACACTATCATATCACAATGGAGGTTCGTGATTCTTAACAATCCCTGTTGTTGGCCTTCCAATTGTATATAAATTTCGTCCAAACGAGAAAAAAATAAAAGGGCCAACAAATCTAGATGACTGGCTGCTGAAAAATTGAAGTATGAATTGTTCTAATCCTGTTTGAGAGAGGACTTCAACTTGTTTCTATCTGTTTCAATCATAAATGACTATCCATTCACAAACTTGCGGTGCATTATTCTTCATTATTGGGCCCAACAAAGTGTGTTTGGGAGTTGGAACAAAAGAAAATCTTGCTCAAAATTAGCCGTTCTCTTTGTTGATAGCAGGAACAAGCAAGGAAGGCATTAGAAAGTGCACTTGGGGGAAAGAAAAATGAATTTGAGAAATGGAACAATGAAATAAAGAAAAGAGAGGAGATGGCTGGTGACGGAGGTGGTGGACGAGGAGGTTGGTTCGGATCAGGCGGGTGGTTCGGTTGGTCCGATGACCAATTCTGGCCCGAAGCACAACAGACTAGTCTTGCTGTTTTAGGTATAATTGTCATGGTGAGTACTTTCCTTTACCCATCTTAGATTCTGGCTATAGTATTGGTTGCAATCTAACTAATCTCTCATCCCACACTGGTGCAAATTTTCAATAAAAGTATCTCATAGTTGCGAAAGGTGGAATGTTGGTTGCTGTTATTATCAATCCATTGCTGTATGCTTTGCGAGGAACAAGAAATGGATTGACTTTGGTTACTTCAAAGATTTTGAGAAAGAACCCTTCAAGTAATGATGCCGAGTTTGACGAGATTTCAAACGAAGACGTCTCGGGCCATGTCTCTGCTAAAGACAGAGTTGCAAGGAAATGGAGGAACGATTGATCTTTCTTCCCAGTTACTTTTGATCTTTATGGAAAAATGTTTGGCTCCTAGATTTAGTTTTTCTTTTTCATGTCGATTCCTTTGAATCTTCAGAGTTAATCCTTTCAAACTGGATGTTTGAGTTTGTTCCCTTCATCAAAAACAACCCCAAAAGAGAAAGGTTTGAGCTACATAATTACTCTTTAAACCTTGTTATAATTTTCATTTCTTTATATAATCATACATGTTTGGTTTAGTTGTTTACCGATAACAGCCATGATTCTGGTGCAATTCAACAAATAAGATACGAAGAGGTTTCTACACTCTTAGAAAGAATGGTTCGTTCCTCTCTTGAATTGATGTGAGATCTCACAATCTACTCCCTTGGGGACTAACATCCTCGTCGACAAATCGCTCGATGTCTGACTCTAATAGCATTTGTAACAGTCCAAGCTCACCACTAGTCGATATTGTCTGTTTTAGCCCGTTACGTATGGTTGTTAGCCTCACAGTTTTAAAACACTCCTATTAGGAAGAGGTTTCTACGAGAAATGTTTCATTTCCCAAGACGAGGAATTTACTTACATTTACAACAAAAATCAAAGTTGAAGATCTAGAAGGATACGAAAACTTAGGAACTACCCAATTAATTGCAAAATTTATTAAAGGTACGGTTTATGTTCCACCACTTGTTCAAATGGATGAAATTGAAATTTCACACTAAGAATTTCTCAAAAGAAAAAAAAAAAAAGAAAAAAAGGTGAAGAACCAGCTAAGCCTGGAATGAGCTATCGGTTTCAATGTTTTAGGAGTTGAGGTAACTAAGAGTCAACAAATCGTAAATTTCAGAAAGAACAGCAGAAGATATAAGAACATGAAGATTGTATTTCCAATGAAAACCAATGATTTGAAGGAATCTTCTCCGGAAGACGAGGTCAAATTGTTCCACTCATTTCATCATCATCATCATCATCTTCTTCTTCTTCTTCGATGAGCTGAATTTGGTTTCTTTTAAAAAAGAAACACCCTGGAATCCCCTGTGACCTGTAAGTGACCTGCACGATCTCCCCATACTCGCATTTGTTATTTTTAGCATCACCAGACGACCATTTCTCTTCACGTTTCATTCATCCCTTTCTTTTTCTTTCTAATTTCCAGGCTTATCCTTGTGTGGGTTTCTCCATTTCATTTTCTTAGCTTCTTTTGTCTACCAATTGGGTCGTTTTGTTTCCTTCTTCTTTGTCCTCAAACCATATAGTGGATGGTCTTTTGACTTCTCCGGGCATTGAAGCGAAATGGGTCTTGACAACAATGAAGACGGAAATGGTTGTCCTGAGACCAAGAAAATAGTTGGAGTTGAAGAATATGAAGGTTGGGATGAAAGTAGAAAAAGGAGTGAGGGTTTTATATGTGCAGCAGCAGCAGCAGCAGCAGCAGCAGCAGCAGCAGCAGCAGCAGCAGAGGATGATGAAGATGAAGAGGGAAGGAAGATTGAGTTGGGTCCTCAGTGTACGCTGAAACAACAATTTGAGAAAGATAAGGTCCGATCTTTTTCATTCTCCTTTTATGGGTCGAAGCAATTCTATTCATGCTCAATTTCTAATGCTTCCAAAATGGTTTCTCTTAGGATGACGAAAGCCTGAGGAGGTGGAAGGAACAGCTTCTAGGGAGTGTGGATATTTCAGCTGTTGGAGGTAATTCTGTAAACCTTTTCTTATTAGCTTTCAGTCATACAGTCAACCATCATATCGTAAACTAATGCTAAAAAAAAAAAAAAAAAACAGAAACTTTGGAACCAGAGGTGAAGATTCTTAGCCTAGCGATTAGAAGCCCAGGAAGGGCAGACATTGTTCTACAAGTTCCTGAGAGTGGGAATCCAAAAGGGTCATGGTTTACATTGAAAGAAGGCAGCCGTTACAGCTTGATCTTCACCTTCAAAGTTAGCAATAACATTGTTGCAGGTCTGAAATACGCCAACACAGTCTGGAAAACTGGTGTCAAAGGTAGATTAGATAGATATCTTCTTTCTCAACTCTTTAGTATCTCTCTCATCAAAGACTCAAGCCATTTTTGGTGTTTAAAATCTCTACAAAACAGTCGATAGCTCAAAAGAAATGCTGGGAACTTTCAGTCCTCAGGAAGAACCTTACACACACGAAATCCCAGAAGATACAACCCCATCTGGCATTTTTGCTCGAGGATCATATTCGGCCAAAACCAAGGTAATTCAACTTGGTGTTTTAGTCTCAAGAAATGGCCGTTTTAGTCCTTAAATGGATGAGAAGTTTGTTTGTTTGTTTGTGTGGGCTTGCTTGCAGTTTGTTGATGATGACAACAAGTGCTACCTGGAAATCAAGTACACATTTGATATCAAGAAAGATTGGCAATCATCTTAAAAGCAACAGGATTGATTCTCTCTCTTAATGATTGGTTTTGCAGCATTTGATCAATGTCTCTTTTGAACCGCATAAATTTGGTTTCAGTGTCCAAATATTTCATGTACTCTGTTTCTTTTGTCTCTTCATTCTTTCATGTACGTGCAATGAGACTGATGGCCTCAACCCTTTTCTCTTCTCTTTTTCTCAAAGGCAATTAAGAACGGAAAGGTTTGCATGATCAATCAAGAACACATTTATTTAACGATGAACAACATCAGGTTGTTTTCCAGTTGCTTACAGCTTATACGGATTTTATTACAAGAGCAAAGCATATCCAGCTTCTTAAGGAGGCGAAGGAACAATCATTCCGGCGCATGTCCCGAACCCAACAGTGTATCCATTTCCCTGCAATAAAATTAAACATTTCAATTTCTCAAATTGAATATACTAACATTTCAATATGGTAAGAAGACAAATATGATGAAAAAACGAAAAACCTTGGATTGACCGGTAATAATGATTTCATCTCCATCTTCTAGAAACATACGAGATATCCCATGTGATAACACCATTGGCTTTTGTCCACTCCATGTTAACTCCAGCAAGCAGGAAAAAGATTCTTGTTCCTGTGTCCAAATCAAAGCGAGGAACACGAATTCAAAATTTTGAGACCATTTTATTTAAGGGGAAAACACATACACACACACACCCTCATGGAATTGCACAAAACTGCAAAACGAATCTTGAGTAGAAGTCATACAGGTCCACTTAGGATGCCAGTCCCCAGGAGATCACCTGGCTGCAAGTTGCAGCCATTGATAGTATGGTGTGCAAACAGTTGAGGCAGCGTCCAATACCTACACATTGCGAAAGGAGGGAGTAAATCGAGGAAAGATAGAGAAGCATCACAGAAAACTTGCTTAATGGAAAGTGGACAACTGAGAAAGTAAAAATCCATGATAATTACAATGTGAAAAGAGTTAATGTACTGCTGGACATGAAACATGTTAAAGGTGACTGGCACTGGCACCTGGTTTTTAGCATATGAAAGATCTACTGATCCACGGTTTAGGAAGGAGGGAAAGGAATGGCCATCACATAGGATTTAAATATAACATGGAAAGAGTTGTAGTGCCTCCTTACAAATGCTTAGAATTAGTTCTTGTTAGCACTTGTGTATCTTGTTGGCCAACTGGCCGAAGTAGAACCTGGCAATAGGCAGATATATTCATCACTATGTCAAGCAAGAAACTACATTCTGTTGCTAAGAGCCTGATAAATTTTGCATGAGACAAATAAAATGGCAAGGGAGAAAAACAAAATACTGGATTTTATAAAAAAGATGTACTAAGCAATAATGTAGTAAAAGGAAGGGAAAAAAAAAAAAAAAAAAAAAACATGAGCTACAATGCTGTATAATGGATTTATATAAGCTAAATTAAGTACCTCCATTGAGATGTCATAGTTCTGGGATGTCTTTTCGGCTAGATATGGCAATGGAGGTGGGTCCTACAACAAAAGGCACAAATCATTTAACTTGTTCGAGCGTTTTCACATAACATACAACAGGGGCAACAATGGCGTTACTAGTTTTTTTTTAGAAAAGTAAAAAAACGAAAAGAAAAAGAAAAGGGATGCTATGGTCTGGTTGTACCTGTATTGGAGAATCACATTTGAAAGGCTCTAAGGCTTCTAGTGTAACAATCCATGGGGATATTGTAGTACCTAAAACAAACATCATGTAGGAAAACAGGGGTAAGGTCCCTAAAAACATTAACAGAGAGATAGCGAGTTAAGAGTTCTAACAAAGGTTACGCAAACTACAATCTCTAGCCAGTAAATGCAATGGTATAAGTTCTACCTCAAGCTCCTAGAACAAAAGACGAGAAGAAAAAGGTAAAATGTTTGTACTTACCGAAACTCTTCCCAAGAAAGGGCCCTAGAGGAACAGATTCCCATCCCTGAATGTCTCTGGCTGTGAAAAGACGAAGTATCCGACATTGACCAAGCATGCTAGCAGAAATTTTAAAATTAGCACAGCATTCTTACCACTCCAATCATTCATCAGCACCAGGCCAAAAATATGATCTTCTGCTTTATGTATATCTACAGGCTTTCCCAACTCATTTCCAGTACCAACAACAGCAGCCTGTAACATTTAGTGTCAGATGTCAAAATTGTACCCATAAAGAAGTAGAACAACATAACATGACCTATAACACAACCAAAATTTTGTTAAAAATCTGCATGCGCATCTGAGTTCAGGATTCTCACCATTTCCAGCTCAAAGTCCATCTTGGCGGAAGGACCAAAGTGTGGTGGAGAGTTTACGATTGGAGCGCTCTGGCCTCTGAAGAAGGTAAATACATGAGAAAAATCCTAAGATAACAGCCAGCTACTTCAAGAATGAACCCATTTGCTAGAAAGAATGGGAGCATAGAATTAAAACAGCAATAACCAAGAGTGTACGAGTGCCCGTTAAACGTACAAAGGAAATGTGCAAGAACAAATCGTGACAGTAAGATAAATAAGCCTATTAAAATTGAAATGGATGACATCCAATGCCATCATATTGAAATCCCCAGTCAAGTTTTCAGAGAATGGTTGGCAAAAGATTGGCATATAGCTAAGCACCTTTATTTCGTTCTATCTCATTTTACATTTTCTTTACTCTGATACTAAAAAACTACCGATCAAAAGAAGGGAAAAAAAAAAAAAAAAAAAAAAAAAACCATACCGAGGTCGAACAATGTCTGTCCCTGAGATGACAATAGATGATGCACGTCCATGATATGCAATTGGAAGGTGGAACCTATATATAGAACTTAGGGTTTTCAACTTTCAGAACTTAAAAAGAAAAGAGACTTCGAAGGGTTTAATTGCTACACATTTTGTATCCACAAACCGATTGGGAAGAATTTTGTTTGGAGATTCACAAGATGCAGCTCTGGAATTGTCTGGAAGATGCATAGACGAAAAGAAGTCCGTGTAGTCCTGAATGGCCACGGGAACAACCATTGCAACTTTTCTCTGAAAACGTAGACATCTTATTGACATTAGATGATAAGAGATGTGGAAGGAAGTTGAACATTCTGACTTTTGCATAGCAATACCAGTTGAATAAGTGACCTCGACCTTAAAGCTTCATTGTCACGCAAGGCTGGTTCAGTAGCTGCACCAAAAGAAAACCAGTTCTTTCCATTGATTTGATAAGAATGTTAATGCACGTGAAACTTATCTACCAGGGAAGAAACAATGAGCATGCAAATAATAAAACCTTGAATTTTTATACTTCATCCTACCAATATAATTTTAATTTTCTTGGGAAATTTGCACTCATATTGACTCAAGAACTTGATTATAAAAGTTATAGTAAGCATACATGATAACAGTTTTTGAAGCGTCGCACGAGCTTCCTTCCAAGCAGGCCGTCCCAGAGACAGAAACTTGTTTAGATTAGGCTACGCCGAAATTTAAAAAGATCAGGCCTCTTGATTGCTAATTTTTCCAGGGGAAACAAAAAGAGAATAGGAAAGAATGACGTAGTAAAAAATTCCATCAACCGGCATTTCAACAAATACTTGAACATACACATTTACGACACGAGTAATTTAACATACACAATTACGCATCGACCTCTACCGTAGACTTATTACTTAGTTGATCGATGAATTTCCATCAATCCGCATTTCAAGAAAAAATACAACTACAGATTGTAGTCATGATCCCGATGTCTTTTATCAAATTTACATCCTCAAGAACGACAAACCGGCGGGGGTAAATAACGCACATTAAAGATCGCAATGAAGCCGTTCACCTTTAACATACCTGATCAAAACAGTCAGAGTCCTTGAGGAGAGAACCGTCGAAAAGGCCTGCGGCGGCGATCTCAGCGAGGTTCAACAGGTACTCACCAATAGCCACACAAGGTCGCTGAACCGAATCAGGTGCAGTCTTGAATACTCCGTAGGGGAGATTCTGAATGGAGAAGTGAGAATCCGGTTGAACTTCGATGAAAGACTTCAGTGCCATGTCCCTGATATCAGTGATTTTAGCGCGAGACAGATAAAACAGAAAGAGACGGAACAGAGTGAGGACTGCAACTCTATTTATAGAACGCGGGATACAATGGCCAATAAAATTAATAAAAAATTCTTCTTTTAAGTTCATTATTTTAATAGTTGACAATTTCGCGTCCACGGCGTACATCGTACATTTTTACTCCAATTTTTACCGTGGTTGGTGTAAGTTTATGTAAATAACGGTAAAAAAAAATCCCATGGAATAACACGCTCAATTTGGCGGTAAAAAAAGATTGGTTAATACAAAACAGAAGCATTATACTGGTTTAGAATTTGACGGTACTTTTAGATAATGTATTGTCTTGACAATTTTGACAGTGACATTTGATCCCTTGATTTGAGTTTTATATTTGACAAATGGTTGAAAATGACTGAAAATGAATTATTTTTAAATCTCTTTTCAGCGTTGAAATTAAAAAGAATTAATATTTGAAACTATTAAACTAAAATTTGGAAAGAACTTACAACAAGCAGGGGGCCGCCAAAGGACAAAGAAACAGAAGCCAACGTGGGGGAAAGGGAAGCAGGCCACGTGTAAAGATGAGAAAGGATCCAACGGCCACTATGCGACGAATATGTGCCATCCCAACTCGAAGAGATATATACAATATATATATATAAGAAAAAATAATTAAGAAAAAGCAAAGGAAATTGATTCGAATTCCAAACCGTCTCTAGACAAGAAATCGATTTGCGTTCGTTTCTCATCCTCAAATTATTCTTATTCAGTTCCTTTTTTCTTCTGCCAATCTTTTGGTTTCCTTCCTATGGTTCTCATGTTAAGCAAAACCAGACCAGGTTTCTCTCTCAACGCTCTCTCTATTTGATTTTTTTGCACTAGTTTTTGCTTTGGTTCGGAATTTTCTGTGGAGAGTTCGCTTAATTTTCAGGATTTTCTTTCCTCTTCGATGTTACAGGTACTAATCTTAATCGTATTGGACTTATCTCCAGTAGTTAGAAGTGAACTGGTAGAGAGATTTGAAGTATTCTTAATCTTCAGAGTTTTAACTACTTGTTTACAGTAGTGTTTGGTAGTTTCTGTTTGTTTTTGGAAATGGCATCGAGTATTCGGTTTTGCTTTATTCTTTTTTGAATTCGAGCTTTTTGGATGTCTAGCTTTCGAGCTGGTTTTCCGGAACTTGTTTGTGATAATGCTAGCATGTTTTTATGCATCGAATTGCTATGTACATTTTGTGTGTTATACGCGTTTATGTACGTTGAAATCAATACTTTGAGCTTCGAACTTACGATATTGTTTTGAATTGATGTTTCAGGGAATAGTTCTTGTGCAGCTAATGATTTCTAGAATCCTGTGAATTGCATTTCTGACCATGCTAAACGATAATAATACCAATAGTCCGTCGGCTCCGGGTGGTCGGACTCGGCATCGCAGGCGCCCAAGTGATGTGTGTCACTCCCTCTCTCTGTTTGATGCGTACCATTTTTATTCACTATTAACTTTTTTCCACATGAAAATATCCACAACAAATAGTCAACTTAAAATGTATTACGGCACTCAAATTTTTAGTAGGAGGAATAACAGGAATGCCTAATTATGTCAAATCAAATACTGTGCTTATACTTCATTCGTATTACTTTTAGCTATATTCCCTTTACTGTAGGTGCAGGAAGTATGCATCAGGATATTGGATGGTTTATATATAATTAATTTTAATATTTTTTTTTCAATTGATTTTTAGGTAACTTCGGAGGAGAACAAGCCGAATGAAAGAAATTTACTAGTTAATGACCGGAGTAAATACAAATCGATGGTGATCCGTGCATACTCAACAATTTGGATGATTGGGGGTTTTGCATTAATAATATATTGTGGGCATCTCTATATTACTGCCATGGTTGTGGTTATTCAAGTTTTCATGGCAAAGGAACTGTTCAACCTACTGAGGAAAGCTCGTGAGGACACTCGTCTACCAGGGTTTCGACTATTAAATTGGTAATGTCAAGGCTTGTTTGTATTTTCTTTGGTTTATCCTCTAGTCTCTACAATACCTGTTGCTTTCTGATTATGAGCAGCATGCCTTCTCGTTTCTTCTTTTTAGGAGCTTGCATTCTGTATTTACTAATTGATTAAAACTCAAGTGCAGGTACTTCTTCTTCACAGCAATGCTTTTTGTGTATGGTCGCATTTTAAGTCAGCGGCTTGTTAATACTGTCACTTCAGATAAATTTTTATATCAGCTAGTGAGCAGTCTCATCAAGTACCATATGGTTATTTGTTATTCCTTATATATTGCAGGTTTGTGATCCTTTTTTATAGTGTTCCTGTTTTAAATCTCATCTTCTTGAAACTTTAACCTGTGCTATCAACATCATTTCATGGTGTGCAGTTTATAACTGCAATTCTGTGTGTGAAAATTCTGTTGATTTTTTTATTTAATTCCATTTATTCATTCACTTTCAAAATTTTCTTTTGCATTATTATATTAGTTTTTTCAATTGTCTGGAAATTTATGACAGCGTTCTAACATTTTTCCCTCGTTATTTCTCTGCTTCTGGTTGGGCTCAGGTTTTATGTGGTTCATTCTTACTTTAAAGAAGAAGATGTACAAATATCAATTTGGCCAGTATGCATGGACGCATATGATTCTAATCGTTGTTTTTACACAGTCCTCTTTCACAGTGGCCAATATTTTTGAAGGAATCATCTGGTAATTCAACCTTCTCAAAGGGGAAATCTTATGTTATTGAAAATCAAATCTTCTGTGGCTTGCAGTTTACCCTGGAATTTCACTTTTTCCTTAATGAGTAATATTCTGCAGGTTTCTCCTACCAGCATCACTTATTGTTATCAATGACATTGCTGCCTATATATTTGGTTTCTTCTTTGGAAGAACGCCATTGATCAAGTTATCCCCAAAGAAAACTTGGGAGGGATTTATAGGAGCCTCCATTATGACTGTCATATCTGCTTTTGGTGTGAGCAATTTTTTCCTTGCATTCTATTTTTGTCACTGAATTTGATGAGTTTGTTACTTCAACCTGTTATTGATGTTGCTCGACTGGTCATGATAGAGCTTCGTAGTTTTTCGTTTTCAAAATTAATTATGAAGCACCAGTACTATCACATTTGGATTACTTGCCTCAAGTAGTGCTTTAATTTAATTGTATTGGCGAAGGTGGACACTGATCATTGACCGAATTAGTATTTTTCATTTAAAATTGCTAAACTAGGTTATGTATGTGAGTCCGTCATAGATGGTTTCTTTTGGTATTGATTACTTGTTAGCATTCTGTTTGTAGTTCGACATTTGTAGTTAATGAACATGGCCTTTTCATTTGTTTTTGCAGCTTGCTAATGTCATGGGTCGTTATCAGTGGCTTACTTGTCCAAGAACGGTAATTGTCTTGCAAAATCATCTTTCTTGCTTTTGAAGAGACTTGTTTTTATTTTGAAATTTTTCTGTCACATGGTTCAACAATCTCAGGATTTATCAACTGGTTGGCTTCACTGTGATCCTGGTCCTTTGTTTAAGCCCGAATATTTCACTTTACCCGGATGGACTCCTGATTGGGTCAGTGTTGACTATAAATTGAATCTTATTTAATATGAATAGTATATCTCTTCTATCGCTTCTTATTCTGGCATTCTTCTAACCTTAATGTAAAATTATCTCCAATATGTGCATCTCTATGTATGTCTTGGACCTGACTTTGGGTGAGTTATATTGCTGATCTCCGATCACTTTGCATTTTACTTTTGGTTGGAGAAGTTCACTTTTACATTTGATTGAACTTAGAATTATTGGAAAAATCAGCAAGTCTATTATTCGACCATATTATTAGACCTCTTATAAAGGGGGAGGTAACGCTGTGAGCCATTCAAAACTTCACTTGATAGGAGTAAGCCATTTGAGCTACATGATGAATAATGGAGAGCCGCCTTGAAGCCATTTGCGCTTTAGAGAGGAACAAGGAGAAGAGAGAATTGCCTAGGGACCCTGAGTGGGATAGAGATGATATGTAGTGTAGAGAGAGTCAACTAAAAGAATATTGTATCCCTGTGATGCGTATCTTTTAGATACGTTTGCTGATTTACTATGTACCCAATTTTGATTTTTGTTTTATTTAACCACACCTCGAGGACAATGTGTTTGAGGGGCAGGTAATGACAATGATATTATTAATGGTACATTAGTAATTAGATAGAGAAGTTGTTAGGGTATTTGGTGGTAAGTAAAGAGAGCAAGGAAGGAGGTTGGACATTATTTTGGTGAGTGAATTAGGACTTGAGAATGATCTCAAGAGGGGAGGGTTCAAGTACCTCGAATACTTGGGGTGTTGTAATTTGTTATCTTTTATATTTCATACATTTGGGCTCTATCAAATATCTTTTCAGTTTTTGGCATTATGTTTTTTTTACTTTTTTATTTTGAGGATTTTCTACGCAAGTTGTTGGCATCAATTGGTCCTCCACCGCCCTTTTAATTTACATAAGAGAGAAAATACGAGCTAAATCTTTCACATATATTGAATCTGTTGTGCCCCTACAAAATTGTATATAACTAATAACATATGTTGAATCTTTCACAAATATGTTTCTTGATGCCATGAATGGCCTTTTTTGGCACCTTTGATCTGCCGTACATCTATTTTTCCACCTCTTTTTTTTCCAATATTGTTTAGCTTACACTTCATGAAGTTGTTCCACATTAGTGAGGAACTCACATTTCTATGTTCTCTTTCAGTTTCCATGGAAGAAGGTAAGCATATTGCCAGTTCAAGGACATGCGTTATGCCTTGGTTTATTTGCATCAATAATTGCTCCTTTTGGAGGCTTCTTTGCAAGTGGTTTCAAAAGAGCTTTCAAAGTGAAGGTTCATTCCGAATACCATCTTTGTGTTGTTTTGGAAAGTCTCAATTTTGAGATGAGCTATCTCATATCATTTTCTCTGTTTCATGCAGGATTTTGGTGATAGTATTCCTGGACATGGTGGAATTACAGATAGAATGGATTGCCAGGTGAGCCACCAAGAACTCTGGACGTTGGTGCCTTTAATTAATTTACTAATTCAAAACTCTTGATCAACAATAGATCTGGAGAAGAAACCATAGATTCATACATTATATTGCAGACACTGGGTGGATCATTTGGATGACTTTTACAATTAGGTTCTCTAATTGGAACTTGATAGTGATTCTTAAAGCTAATTGCGACTATGTTTGAAATGATTTCTACTCCGAACCTTTAAGGGTTAGAAGTACCAAAACGTGATGAAATTATTTTCAAAGACCAACTAACTGCAGTAATCTTGTAGAGGTTAAACCCTTGATGGGCGGTGGCTATTATTAGAATGGTTACATTTTTGTTTGAAAATTTCCAATTTCTCATCCATTGATCTGGATCCTTCCTCTGATTGTATTTTGATTACAACCTACCCCTTTGAAGATGGGAACAAGTAGTTTTCGTGACTTTGTCCTCTATTTAGGTGGAGGTTCTAGCAGGTTTACAAAGTATGAATAATATTGTGTTGCTTACCAGATAGTGTTACTTTCCTAATTTGTTCACTGCCATAATTTCCTGAAACTTTATGTAGATGGTGATGGCTGTATTCGCCTACATATATCATCAATCCTTTGTTATGGCTCAGAACCTATCCGTTGACACAATCTTGGACCAGGTAATCTTTTACCCTTTTTTTTGTTTCATTTTACGGTGATTTAAGTTCTTACCCAATAGTTGTAAAATCCATGTACTTGGTGTATTGCTGCATTTATAGATTTTAGTGAATCTCACACTCGAGGAACAAGCAGCTCTATACATGAAGCTTGGGCAAATCTTGCAACAGCGGGTGGTTGGCTAGAATCTGATGCCTTCATTCTCTCATTGTTTCAGAAAGTTCGGATGTTGTAACATTGTGAAATAAATTAAAATATCATGTAATGATTTATTCTTGTCGCCCCAGCTTACATATGTAGCATGCCTTGGCGATTATTCATAAATGATAACCTTCTTAATAATCTCGTTGGATATGCAATGTAAAATTGATTGTTTATTTCAAGATATAGTGTATATATCAACTTTCAACTCAATAGAGGAGTGAAAATCAAGGGTTAACTTTCTAATCATTCCAAAGCGAGAAGAAAAAGAAACAACAATGCCAAAAAGGTCGCATTTTGTCTCTCTATACCTCCATTTAAACAGTCAACATAGGTCAAAATTTGAGCCTGGTCTTCACTTTCGTGTGTGTTCTTACTGGGTTTTTGGTTTCTCAATCTTCACGGAGGGGAGAATTCCCATTAAATGAAGAACTTGAGGGGCCCATCCTCTTTGCTGCGCCCGCCAAAACATTAAGATTGTGTTTGCAAAATAGGAACTCAAACCCATGAAAACATGCCACAAGGCATGACCTTAAGGATTGATGATCCAATCTGATATCTTCTTGCAGTACCCCGATCGATGACCCAACAGAAAATGCCTAAGAGAAACGTCGACGAGTACAGCTTTGCTAACCGCTTAGCCGAGGTATCTTGTGTGCACATATAATACTTGTACATCCGAGGTACGCAGAGGAGGCAAAGATTCACATAGTGCACCTTGAAACCAATGTCATAACGAAGAATCGAGTGAGCCACGGCGAACATGACTCCATAGGGGAAGAGGAACGAAACTTTTTGCAATGTGGCATGGAAGAACATACTGCCAATGGCCAGTATCATATTTGAAATGTGAAGTACGCTAAATCTCTTCTCGAAACGTTGTCTCAAAGGAAGAACGGGACGAAGACAAGCTTCCTTTTACTTTTATTGGAGATTCGAACTTCAAATAGCTTTTGCGATTTATTTGACGTAAGAACGGGACCCTCCGGCCGTCAGCAGGGCCGGTGCTTGCCGACAGTTTGGCCCAACTCCTTAGTCACTGGCCCAAAGTAGCACCAAGGCCCAATCTGTTCTTATCGAAAGGCCCAACCTGTTCTTATCAAAAGCAGACCCGACTCTTTAGTGTCTTTCTGGCCCAAACCGACACCACAGACCAACCTATTCCTCTCCAAAGCAGGCCCGAATCTCTAATCCAAGCAGGCTACAGAACCCAACTCTCTAGTCTCATTCTGGCCCATATCGACACCCAGGCCCAACCAATCCTTATCAAAATCCGGCCCGACATTCTAACCAAACAGGCAACAAGGCCTGGCCCAAGTCGACACAAGGGCCCAATCTATTATTTTCAAAAGCCGGCCAGGGTAGGGAACCCAACTCTTAAGTCTAATTCTGGCACGGGCCTAACAATTATGCCTCCTGTCCCGAGCCCCACTCTTCATCCCCACTCTTTCGCCTCTTACTCGACCGAGCCGAACTCTTTCGTCTCTTACTGGCCCATGCCGAGCCGAGCTCTTTCTGGCCCAAGCTGATTTTTCTGGTCCATGCCGACACTCAGGCCCAACATATTCTTATCCAAAGCATGCTGACTCTATAATCCAAGCACACTACCGGGCCCAACTCTTTAGTCTATATCTGGCCCAAGACGACGCGAAGGCCCAATCGATATTTATCCAAACCATGCAATGGCCCAGCCAGACTAAAGGCCCAAGAGGCATGGAGGCCCATTGAAAGCCGGCCCGACAGACGAATCCAAGCAGGCTGTCGATTGTTCCTATCGATTATTCCTATGGGTGGCGATGGTTGGGGTTGTAGCCTTCACAGGAAAATTAATTGTACACAAAACCAGTTCTTGTCATTGTTCCTATGGTTAGACGAACACACTCTACGTAATAGTACGATGAACACACACTACATAATAGTATGATATTGTCCTAAGCTCTCGTGGCTTTACTTTAGACTTTCTCAAAAGACAATATAAATTCATGATCATTCCTTAAATTAGGTGACGTGGGACTTTCATCACCCCGTACCTATTTCTCGGGTTGATTCTTTATGTTCATGTGTAATTTCTTTTATCCATAGCAGCAAAATTTCCGAGCGATCTGTAAAGATTTATAATGGTGTTTTAGATTGATCTTGGCTACAATTGTTGGGAATAGCAACAACTGCAGAATCTATCTTGTTAGGAACTTCGGAAAGGGAACCAATTCAAAACCTTTATATCAGGGAAAACAGGTGAAATGTAGGCACCGATAGACGCACGCTACTGGGAAATCAAAGCAGTTTACCTCGAAGGTATCACATAAAAAATTGATACCAGAGAAGGTTCTAATAAAAACGATAAAACTTATGCCGTTCCGCTCATCTCCCCTCCTCATAATTAAACAAAACCAGAGATTAAAAAGATAAAAGAAACCAGATTAAGAAGGAAGAAACACAGAAAAAAACATCAGAAAATGTAAGAAGTTCGGTAAGCAGATTCGTCGACGAAGATCCGATTAGATCTGAAACAACGACCGGCCAGATAACTTCTCTGGTTTGATTTATCTGCAGCCTCTTCGGCAGGTCAAGAACAAGGGAATCGCCCTTCTCTTGGTACAATGCAGAATCAAGAAAACAGATCTCAAGAATCAAAATCAGATTCGAAACAAAAAAATAAAAAAGTTTGAGATGAACGGAAAGGTGAGAAGATGAAGTCGTGATTAAGGAGGCTGAGTTGAGGAGTGTTGGGTAAGAACCCTAGCAAGGCCATTTAATAGAAAAAAAAAAAAAAGAAATCAGTGAACGGCAAAGGCGGATGGGTACGGGAGATCGTGACCGTTGATCTCTCCATGCAACGAGATAAGGGTTTCTCCGCCAAATTACTAATTAGACTCATTCACCTACTTATTTAAATTTAAAATAATAATAATAAATTGAGTAATCTCCCTAATTCAAACGTTTTGTACAAGTTTTATACTGAATTAACGCAATAATATTTTTTGTCAAATATTATGTATTTTTAATCCATTAAAAATATTAATAATATTTTTTTAATGCATTTTCGCCTTTTGAAGAGTAGGTCAAAATCGACTCATTGACTCGCTTGAATCGCGTGGCTAATGGCAACCACAAAGACCCAACAAAACTAACGAACTAACTAAACCCAAGGGATGGTGCCAAAAATAGAAGCGAAGGCAATTCATGGTCCATGGAGGGTGGCTCGAAAGGCAATATAAGCTCAGACTCATAGCCACATTGTGCAGGCTTCATTCAAACCAAACCTCCAAACATCCAATCTTCCATACATCTTAGAAAATAAAATGGCAGCTTCCACCAAAATGTTTGCAATCTGCATCATTATGATGCTCGTTTCCTCATTTGTGGTGACCCCAGCAGGCGCAGAGTCTCTTGGTTATGGCGCCATCGGTGCGGATGCAGGTGAAAAATGCACCGATGGGAAGTGCGAAACACTAGGAGATCCAGCCAACAATTATAACAGAGGATGTGAGGCCGATAAGATGTGCAGAGGCGGCTAGATTCTCCCCTCATTCTGCTCTATAATAACCATCTCCATTCAAATTATTTTATAATTCTTTCTCGTGTAAAATTAAATAATTTCTCTCAAATGTGCCAATGAAGTTTATTCTTTTTCGACAAATTTGAATTTTTAGTTCAATTTTATGTGGGATCAATTACCGCAAATATTATACTTTGAAATATCATTTTATATTTGCATTTAATTGTCCACTTAAAGATCAATAGAAAAAGGCGATAATATGTCCTTGCCTTCTAAAGGAAGAACAGGACGAAGACCAGCTTACTTTTTCTTTTATTGGAGCTTCGAACTTTGAACAGCTTCTTTCCCATGAAACCTTTCTTTCGATTTTATTTAACGTGAGAACGGAAGTCTCCTTCCGTCGGCTGGTCCGATGCTTGTCGTCAGTTCGGCCGATATCTTTAGTCTCTTTCTGGCCCAACCTGTTCCTTAACTCTTTAGTGTCTTTCTTGCTCAAACCGACACTGGGCCCAACTCTTTAGTTTATTTCTAGCCCAAGCCGGCACCCAAGCTCAAAAGCCCGACTCCAAGCAGGAAAGAGAGAATGAATTGAATTCAAGTATTTTTTTTTTTTTTTTTTTTAATTGGATTTGCATCCTTCAAACCTTTTTATGTAGATTTTTTATTTGAATTTGAGAATTATTTGGCTGACCTGGATTTGATTGCCAATAAATTTACAACCCGTTCTGGTCGACCCGGGAAGAATCAATTTTGTAATACTCTACCCAAGTAAAGTTGATTACCCGCCCTCTCTTTGGAGGATATGTTTTTTATTTATGAATCAATTACCCATATTACAATCCCTTTCTCCAATGATTCACTGAGCCGAGATCACTAATTAGCACTGCAAGCAGGCTTATGGGCCCAACTGTCTATAGCCCATGTCGGCACCCAAGCCTAATCTATTCTTATCCAAAACATGCTCTGGCCCATTCCGGCATCCAGGCCCAACCCATTATTATCCAAAGCAGGCCCGATTCTCTATACCTAGCAGGCTATCGGCCCATCTTTAGTCTCTTTCGGGCAAATGCCGGCACCCAAGCCCATTGTATTCTTATGCCCAAAGAGGCCCAACTATCGAAACCAAGCAGGCTACCGGGCCTAACTAAGGAATATGTATTGTTAAATTACAAAATGGTCCAGGTCGCTTCAATACGTAATCATATTTTGGATTTAATTCAAATTTCTTTTAATATTTACGGTTAAATTACAAAATGGTCCAGGTCGTTTCAATATGTAATCGTGATTATGGCTTTTTAGTTTTTTTTTTTTTCAACGTATTGGGCAGAAAATTTAACTTTTGAACTGACAGTCGTAAATACGTACAATTTCTCCGCCACCATCACAAAATTCTCAACTACGGTGAACAGAATGTATAGGTTAGCCGCAGTCTTCCGCCACGCTGCTAATGCCATTCTATAGCACAGCGGCACCGACTATTCGCCGGAAAATCCCCCGCCGATCACTTCAGCTTCATTTAGTCGTTCATTTAAGGAGATGATGTGTCACTTCGGAGGGGGAGATAGAAAATGACAGTATAGAGAATCATAAGGTTTCTCCTTTCATTCAGATGCAGGGGCAATCGAATTACAGAAACTGTTTGGGCCCCCGCGAAAATAAGAATAGTTCAGAATGTGCCTCCATGGAGAAGAAACGGGTTCATGCTGGCAAAATGGTTTGATTCTTACAAGCGGACCAGAATTATTGATGTTTCAGGATTATTGATGTTTCAGGGTTGCTGGTAGCCTTCATAGGTCAACAAATTGTACACAAAACTTGTTCATGTTCATTGTTCTTATTAATAAGGTTGATTCTTAATGTTCCTTTGTAATTTCCTTTGTCCATAGCAGCAAAATTTCAGAGCAATCTGTGCAGATTTATAATGGAGGCTTTAGCTTGATCTTAACTACTACCGATCGGAATAGCCCCAACTTCAGAATCTATCTTGACGAGTCTTCTAAAGAAAATTAAAAAGAAGTGTCATCTCGATCCAAATTTGTATCTCTTCAGCTTATTCTTAACTTCAGAAATGGAACCAATTTAAAACCTTAAAATCAGAGAAAATGGAAGAAATGTAGGCACCGATAGACGCAAACTACTGGGATATCAAAGCAGTTTGCCTGGAAGGTGACACAAAAAATTAATATGCGAGAAGGTTCTCATGAAAAGGCTAAACCCTATGCCGTCTCACTCATCTCCCCTTCTCATAATTAAACAAAACCAGAGATTAAAAAGATCAAAGAAACCAGATTAAGAAGGAAGAAACACAGATAAAAATATCAGAAAATGTAAGAAGTTCGGTAAGCAGATTCGTCGACGAAGATCCGATTAGATCTGAAACAACGACCGGCCAGATAACTTCTCTGGTTTGATTTATCTGCAGCCTCTTCGGCAGGTCAAGAACAAGGGAATCGCCCTTCTCTTGGTACAATGCAGACTCAAGAAACAGATCTCAAGAATCAAATTAAAAAAAACCTGAGCGGCGAACGGATTGGTGAAAATATGAAATCGTGATTAAGGAGGCTGCGGTGAGGAGTGGTTGCTATGAACCCTAGCCAGGCCATTTAATAGAAAAATTCACTGAACGGCAAAGGCGGATAGTACGAAAGATCGTGACCGTTGATCTCTCCGTGCGACGAGATAGGGTTTTCCACCAAATTAGACTCATTTGAATTTAAAATAATAATAATAATAATAATAATAATAAATTTACGCTGAATTAACCCAATAAATATTTTTATCAAGTATTATCAATTTATAATTCATTAAAAATATATAATAATATTTTTTAATGCATTTTCACTTTTGAAGAGTAAGTCAAAATCGACTAATTGACTCGCTTAAATCGCGTGGCTAATGGCAACCACAGAGTCCCAACAAAACTAACTAACAAAAGCCAAGTGATGGAGCCAAAAATAGAAGTGAAAGCAATACATGGTCCATGGAGGGTGGCTCGAAAGGCAATATAAGCTCAGATTCATAGCCACATTGTGCAGGCTTCATTCAAACCAAACCTCCAAACATCCAATCTTCCATACATCTTAGAAAATAAAATGGCAGCTTCCACCAAAATGTTTGCAAGCTGCATCATTATGATGCTCGTTTCCTCATTTGTGGTGACCCCAGCAGGCGCAGAGTCTCTTGGTTATGGCGCCATCGGTGCGGATGCAGGTCAAAAATGCACCGATGGCAAGTGCGAAACACTAGGAGATCCAGCCAACAATTATAACAGGGGATGTGAGGCCGATAAGATGTGCAGAGGCGGCTAGATTCTCCCCTCATTCTGCTCTATAATAACCATCTCCATTCAAATTATTTTATTATTCTTTTTCGTGTAAAATTAAATAAATTCTCTGAAATGTGCAATAAATTCTCTGAAATGTGCCAATAAAGTTTATTCTTTTTCGATAAATTTGAGTTCTTAGTTCAATTTTATTTTGAGTTCTTAGTTCAATTTTATGAGCGATCAATTACTACAATTACCACAAATATCATACGTGACATTCTTTAAAATATTATTTTAACAATTAAATGTTTATTAATTTATCAAACAAAGGCTAAATTACTTTATCTTATACAACTAAAATGAAAATGTGTATAATCTCGATAGGTTTTACACGGTATTTTTGGGTTATATTTTGATTGAACAATAGTAACAATAGTAAATTGAATCCCTTATAGGGATGACGTTTGGTTGTAACTCATACCATAATTTCTTTTCACATTCAATATAAAAGATAAGGCAAAGTACACCAAATTTTATAATACGTGAGACCAATTTCAAAAGAAAATTATATATACATTTTTGGCTTAAATTATACCGATTTCAATTATATTTTTTATTTTTTAAATTTTAATTTTACCTCTATGCATTAAAATTTATTTAAAAAAATATTTTTGAGCTTTTAAATTATTCAAAAATATTATATTTGGATGCGTAAAAGTTTAGAAGTTTACATCAAATGTATTTCATTTAAGATAATATATCATATAAATAAATGGTTATATTGTAAATGATCAAGCTTTTCAATTCTGACGCATACATATCAAGAATGAAAATTATATATTAAATGAAAGTTTCTATTTAATATATATATATATATATATCTATGTATATCTTATGTCGTGAATGAGAAACCATTGAAGAAAAATTCTCAATCTCGCAGTCCCCACTTTCGCATTAACTCAAGCGGAGAAGACTCGATGGCAATGGGAGATCAGCTATGGCTACTGCATCTGTTCGTCAACAATTAACGAAGTCGATCGCACTCTCTGCAGCCACCTTCAGCGCAACCATTCTCTTGGTTCTATTTCATCGCACCCATCCATCTTCTTCGATAACCCCAGATCCAATGGCGGCTCGAAGCTTCATCCTCTGGCTTCATGGATTGGGGGATTCAGGTCCTGCCAACGAGCCAATCAAGAATCTCTTCACTTCACCTGAGTTCAAGCGCACTTCCTGGTCTTTTCCCTCTGCTCCTTCCAATCCCGTCACGTGTAATTGTAAGTTCTCATGATTTAATTTTTAGGGTTTTTTTTCCTCTGTCTGTGAATAGCCGTGTTCTGGACGTGGAATTTGTGTGGGAAATTATGCTTTTCATACCACACAATCTCATGGAACACTATTAAACCTTAAAGTCTAAAATTTAGAAATGAAGATTCGCTCAAAACAATTCCACGCTTAAAAAAAATTAGAAATGAAGATTCGATCAAAACAATTCAACCCGAAGCCATAAACTGACGGAATTCAACAGGAGAGAAAAATTATGTGTATACCTGAAAGAGAGAACCCATGGATGGGTTGGTTCTGAATCGTGTAAAGAAGAAGACTTAGAGAGAATTTAGTTAGAGAACGAAGTGGTAACTTTGTGTGATTGATTTGTAACGGATGGATTATATCTCATTTGCAACTTTGTGTGCTCGTTTTATTTCAAATCTAGGTGAAATTACTTGTGGCGGTTCAATTTAATAAAATATATTTTTGGGTTATTGCATGAACCGTCCTCCCCTGTTGAGGAAGTGTAGTTTTGTGGGATTGGTTTGTTTGTATTAATTGACCCAATTTCTTGTTCGAATCAAGGGAATTATATGCTTTGTGTGTTGGATTTGTAATGATGAACTTGAATTGCCCTGTTGGTCTTGAACTGAGGAAGATAGAACTTGTGCTTTAATGCTGTAGAATGGTATCGGACGAAAGTGCGATGCCTGATAGATGATTTGTCAGTCCTCTAGTGAATGGCTTGGACAGCCTAGGGTGATTTTAACCTGGAAACTAAAAGGGAAAGCCAAGAATATGATGGGGCTATGATTGCAACCCCTACTGCCACTTGTTGTCTTCAGCATCTTCTCTTTTAAAAAAGTGTTTAATCTTCTTATTCTTCAATTTGCTTATTTCTTTCCACTTGTAGATGGTGCGGTGATGCCTTCATGGTTTGACATTCATGAGATTCCAGTAACCGCTGTAAGTTAAGGCTTTAAGCCATCTTTATATACTCTTTCCTTCCTGAAACGGTCGTCCCATGTGAAGAATTTTCCTTTTGCTGCAAAGATAAATTATTATTTTTGAACTCTTCAATTGTTAAAAAGGTGCTAATACCTCTAAGAAGACGCATATTGACTTTCTACTCTTTGTTTGTCACTGTCTCTCTGCTTAAAATTTATGGATATTAACTCTAAATTCTATCGACAATGGACTATTTGTTGGGTGTTTTATAGCATTGTTCTTTAAAATTTTCCATTCTTTCATGAACTAGGATTCTCCAAAGGCTGAAAGCTCGGTGCTTGAAGCAGTACAGAGTGTACATGCAAAGATAGACAAGGTGATAGATGGTGGCATAAGTCCAAGTAACATATTTGTGTGTGGATTCAGTCAAGGAGGTTTTAGTCTCTCTCTGCTCCCATCTATATTTGCTTTAGATTTGTATATAAAACTCTTGTATGATAGTTTCTTCTTATTGCTGTTAACTCCTTGCAGGTGCCTTGACATTGGCTAGTGTTCTGCTCTATCCAAAGACTCTAGGAGGAGGTGCGGTATTTAGTGGATGGGTTCCTTTCAATTCAACAATTCTTGACCGAGTACATCCCGATGCAAAAAGGGTACTCACTCTTTCATTAACAGATCCTTAGTTACAGCTTTGTTGAAAAGTTGGAATTATAATGTGTATTCATGGTGGAGGGAGTGGTTGTCATTTTAGATACTTTTGCCATGAAAGGGTGAATATGTGTGAAAGGGTGAATATGTGAGATCCAACGTCAGTTGGAGAGGGGAACAAAACATTTCTTATAAAGGTGTGGAAACCTCTCCCTAGCAAATATATTTTAAAACCTTGAAAGGAAGTCTAGAAGGGAAAATTCAAGACGACAATATTTGCTAGCGGCAAATTTGGACTATTACAAATGGTATCAGAGCTAGTCACCGGGCGGTGTGCCAGCGAGGACGCTGGGCCTCCAAAGAGGGTAGATTGTGAGATCTCACATTGGTTGGAGAAGGGACGAAGCATTCCTTATAAGAGTGTGGAAACCTCTCCTTAGCAAATGCGTTTTAAAACCTTGAAGGGAAGTCGCCTAAAGAGGACAATATCTGTTAGTGGTGGGCTTAGATTGTCAGAGAGACACCATTTCTAAGATTTGAATGTTTGTGCAGACACCAATTTTATGGTCTCATGGAATGGACGACAGAACCGTATTGTTTGAAGCTGGACAAGCCGGGCCACCGTTCCTGGAAAAGGCTGGACTAAGCTGCGAATTTAAGGTAATTTGCTCGATTTCCTCTTCTACAAATGTGCATGAACTTTTGAGATTAAAAGTCTAAAATGGTTCGGTCATCTTATTTTGAAGGCGTATCCCGGTCTTGGTCATTCGATAAGCACGGAGGAGCTCAAACACCTTGAATCCTGGATCAAGAGCCGCCTGCAAAGCTCCTCCTGAACCCTTTGAACCCTTTTGCTGGATTTCAGATCATTATGTTATTAACAACTTTGACACGCAGTCTAAAAGAAATTTTGTTGGAAAAGTGTGAAGCTGGGTTATTATGTCCAGTATTTTGAAGCATTGCAGTTGACTCATAAGGAAGCAAAGAATGATTGATTATTCCACATAAGCTAATAATATAATATGCTTTCTTCATCAATTACGTGTTTGGATCTTTAATACGTGGATTACACAAATCATACGTGTCAATGGCTTTCATTTTCAGAAATATCATCAAATTGTTCTCTTTTTTTTCTTTTAAATTTATTGGATCAGTAATTGAAAAGCTAGGCCAATTTTTTTTAAACGAATTAAATTAAAGTTGAAAATTTTGCAATGGGCCAAGACGGGGGTCGAAGCGAGTCCAGGCTTAAACGGCAGCGTTTAATCCGATTGACTTCAAATCTTTTTCGGTGCGTTGTCCTGAAAGAGATCTGATGCAGTGATCGTGGAGGGTCCCACTCTGTCCCGTGCGGATCAATCACAGCCGTCAACGAGAAAGAGGTTTTAATCGATCAGTGAATTGGAGTCGAAAGCAGTGTCGGAATCGAGTTGTGCGTCGCACGTGAATATTTCCCTATTCACCATCAACACACGTCATCAACTCCAAGGCCTGAAATAAAAACCTCAAAAACTCTTAACCCCGCTTCCACCAAAATCCCATCCTTCCTTTTTTTTTTTTTTTTTTTTTTTTT